CTCACACCAGCCCCCACAGAGAAGGATAAGGCCATCTGCCTCCTCACACATCAATCCTACCTAAAAGACACACACACACACACACACACACACACACACACACACACACACACACACACACACACACACACACACACACACACACACACACACACACACACACACACACACACACAAACACTGAGTGCAGGGCAGCAATATGGAGAGGCTTTGCAGACAGTGTTTGATCTGCCTTTCATCCATCCAGCAGCAAGCAGGCTGCTGAGCCTCTGTGTGTTTGTCTCCTGCTGTACTGTCCACTGTCCCTGTGGAAATCAGCAGCCGATAACAACAGATCCAACCTGAGGACTGAATGGCAGAACACAAGCTGATCAGCCTCATCTCTGAACACAGGGAACAGGAGGGGGCACAGCTCAGTGGACCCATTCAAACCTAAATGACTTAACAGGAATGATTCTTTAAAGGCAGAAGTCACACATTTCACATGCCAATGTGACATCAGGGACTTTAACTTAAATCAAAAGTAAAAGCAGGCCTTCAAAAACAGCAGAGCTGCACTAGAAGAAAAGATGTTGTAAAAGTGATTCTGCCTTTAGAATGACTTTATTTTTAGTCTCATGTCTCCTCTACTGTAAACAAGTTGAAATCTAAAAAATACTGGAAATAAAGGAGAAAGAAATTCATACCAGCATCTCTGAAAACAAGGTAAAAGTGAAAATGACAGAGTAAATTACAATCGCAGTTTAATTAATCGTTTAGCAATTAAATCAAACATTTTACAAATGAGCAGATATCAAAAGTTCCAGTTATTTTTTCTCCAATTTAGTGAACGAAATTAAAATCCGAGCTCTAATCAAAGAAAATAATAATGAAATATGTAACAATAATAAACCAAAATGACAAAGATGGTATATTCAACGTCATTCTTTTGGGTGAAAAAAAAGTGTTAGATCATTAATTTGGAGAAAGGGCATTATTACTAACTCCCGTTTATAATTTTTAACATTCCTTCATAGTTCTCATTTAGGTTATTCATAGACAACTAAATTGAAGTGATTGGAAAGTGCTTTTATTGGATAAGAGGTAAATTACAAAAAAAAATATGAGGGAATAAAACGATGAAAAACTCAGGACCTGAGCCCTGAAACATTAATAGAGCATGTTTTAAGAGGGTATGTCAAATGACGTCAAGCCTAATGCACCAAAACTGCTTCTATGTATGAAAAGAGGAAGAGTTAGTTTCAGAAAAAGTATTTCATCATCGTCATCATCACTGAGTTGTTTATGTGGTCTGAGGCAGACTGAGGTCCAGATGGACAGAGAGCTGCTGGGGTTTGACTTTATGAGTCCACTCAGCTGAGAGTCTGAGGCCAGTCTGAAAACAGAGGCAAGCCTCAACATCAGCCAGACAACAGTACACACACACACACACACACACACACACACACACACACACACACACACACACACACACACACACACACACACACACACACACACACACACACACACACACACACACACACACACACACACATACACACACCGCTGACAGCTATTAGGCAATCAATAGCAGCTAATACATGAGAGTATTTGACCACTCAGCTCGACTAGCTTAGCTGATAGAGAGTAAGAGAAAGGGAGGAGAGTGGACATAAGAAAGGGTTAAGGGAAGTGAAGAAAATAAGAGTAGAAGTGGAAAAGTGGAAGAGAATAGAAGAAAGGACAGAAGAAAGGAGAAAGAATGGAAGATAAGATGCGATATGGAGAGTAAAAAGACAAAAAAGAGCCAAGAAGAGAAAATGGTAAATTAAAAGAAGAGGAGAGTTTAGAAGACAAAAAAGGGAAGACAAGAAGAGAAATGATAGAGAAGACAGGGGAAGAGAACAAAGGAACAGAGGAGAAAATGTGGATGGGTATAACACTAGGAAGAGAAGAGAAGAGAAGAGAAGAGAAGAGGAGAGGAGAGGAGAGGAGAAGTGAAGAGGGGCAGAGAAGAGACGAGAAGAGAAGAGAAGAGAAGAGAAGAGAAGAGAAGAGAAGAGAGGAGAAGAGGAGAGAAGAGAAGAGAAGAGAAGAGGAGAGGAGAGGAGAGAGAAGAGAAGAGAAGAGAAGAGAAGAGAAGAGGAAGAGGAGAGGAGAGGAGAGGAGAGGAGAGGAGAGGAGAGGAGAGGAGAGGAGAGGAGAGAGAAGAGAAGAGAAGAGAAGAGAAGAGAAGAGAAGAGAAGAGAAGAGAAGAGAAGAGAAGAAAAAATAGGAAGAGAGGGTTGAAAAAAGGGAAAGAGAACTCTATTAATCATGCCATATTGGTGTATTATATATGTATTGTATCCATGCATCTGATCGTCTTTATATCAATAAACATTTCTTAATAATCACATCGTCTAATCCAGTTGTGGCTGAATTTATAATGTGAGTGTTATGAAACATACAACAACATCAATTGTTTGGAGAGAGTTATGGTCTTGTGCTTCAGCCTCAGAGGGAATAAACCTCAGCACTTCAATAAAACCCCAGCACTCTTATCATTAATATCACATTAATAAATAGATTATTCTGATGGATCGCCCTCCAGAGGCCCAGTTAAGTCATCAGGAGGTTAAGTGTGAAATCAATCCCTATAACGACCCGGATAAAAAGTTCTCCCATGCCGGAGAGTTTGAGTCTTAAATCAACCAATCACAGAGGTGCTAGTAAAACCAGTCTTATAGCGCGGCTCGCTAACAATCTCAGTATTTCAGCTCTGGCAGCTCATTCTCCTTGTTTCTCCTTCTGTCTTTCTTTTCCGCCTTTTGTGTCTTGTCCTACCCCTCTCCTCCGCCTCCTCCGCCTCCTCCACCCCTCTGCTCCTCGAAGGCCACGAAGGGGAGTATCCTCTCCATTCACTGCAGAGCCCTGGTGGAGGATCGGGGGTTGTATACATGGGAGGTGAGGGTGATCTACACTTGTTCAAGTATCTATATTTCAGCTGTTTGAAGGGAAAGGGAGGTTGTTAAACAGTCAGTAAGGAGGCGACCCCTGACCCTGAAGGCTGCTGTCCATCCGGTGCACAAGATAAAAAAAGAGAGTCTGGACAGTGATACTGACTTCACTGCTCTTTTCTTTTCTTTGCAGGCATATCTGAAAAATGAGAGGAGATCTTACACCCTTAATGTGATAGAAAAAAGTTTCAGATCTGCATCATGTTGGTCATGCTTCTTCAAACAGGCCTGCAGTTCAGATACAGCCCTTTTTAATTTTTCAGTATTCAGAAAGAGGCTGCATACATATGAGACTATAGTCTGTCTGCCTGCTGCAAATGTCCTATATGCTGCAACTGGCTGCAACAGGATTCCCCCTGCACCTGCCATTTCCTTGGAAAGGCCTCACTTTTAGATGTGGCTGGGAGCAGCAGCAGTACCATAGCACCCAAGTGGCAACTTTTTTTGTTGAAAAATGAAGCCAATTTTGCTACGTAAAGTATCCATCAGTATCCCATACATGCACGTTTACATGCTGCGGGAGCAACTTGGTGTTAAGTGTCTTGCTCAAGGACACATTGACATGTGGCTGCAGAAGCTGGGGATCAAACTCCTGATTTAGCTTACTTTAGCTTACATGTTTTCCATTTGGTAATACTATCATCAGGACCTCACGGTGGGTTATTTCTGTTACAAAGTCTTTGACCTGACAGGGAAGGCCCCAGATGCCAAATGGCAATTCCAGTCATCTACACAGTAATAAGCTAGAAATATGTAACTGTAAAATGAAGGCCATCAAAAGGTAATGAATTCAGTCCTAGTACTGTTACTTGTACTTTTTAATTAATATCATATTCACAGTTTGTGTTACCTACAAACCAAAGTGATATTAGTTAAAAAAAAAAGAAAAAAAGATGCTTCTATATTGCTATAAAAGATGAATGATCCTGACTTAACCTGAAAAATCTTTTCTATTTCTCCACTCCCAATGCTTGAATTTGTGGCACCCACTTAGCGCTGTTGCAGTGTTGTTGTTTCTGCCTGCATGCCCTCAGTGTGAAGATTGGTGACCCAGAGGTTAAAGGTGACATAACAGAGCAGTGGGACAAAGACAGAAGACTGTGTCATCTGTCAGACCCCATGCTGCAGCCACCATCAGTGCCAGTGGGGCTCCCTTTGAATTAACCATAAAACACACATACATGCACCCACGCACATCTTTCTCTCTCTCTCTCTCTCTCTCTCTCTCTATATATATATATATATATCCATCTATCTATCTATTTATCCATCTATCTATCTATCCATCTATGAGGACAACATGTGGCACAGTTGGAGACAGTGTGAGGGCAGATGTCATTCTTTGTGTGAGCAGCAATAGACCACCTTACTGCTGCACTCTATTGTCATTCATTTGGTCCTCTGGGGTTTGTTCACTTTTTACTGTGAGCAGGACGACGGTCTCCAATTCATCACTGTTATAAATGAAGAAACAGGACAGTGGATGCACACAAAGGGATGCTTGCACTGTAAAATGCAGGTCAATACAAAAACACATCGACATGAACATGTGTGCAAGAGTCTCCAAACTGATGCCCACCGATGTAGCTTATCTGAGCGATTTGATAACTTTAAACTGTGTTAGAGTGGTCACTGATCAAAGAAAATGAAAATAAATAAAGGTAGAAGTAACTGTTCCAGTAGAGTGTTGAAACATCTCAATTTCAGCCTTTTCCTGTTTCTCTTGTATTTAAATTTCTATTCTCACATTTCTTTTAAAATAAGTGATATCTTAATTATTAATACTTTTTCTTTTACCTAAATCAGTGAATATAGATATTTTAAGTATTTTTTCATGCTAAAGTTGAGTACTGGAATTTTGTGTATTTTAGTGTGCTATGTTAAATACTGTTTGCCCAATATAATTATGTTTCTAAACTGAGATTTTGATGGATAAGTAGCTGAATATAAAAAAAACAAATACAAATTAGCCGTATTGCTTCCATGCGCTGATTTTTTATTATTTGTGAAAAAGGCATGATGCACATAGAGGACAAACCAAGGCAATTTTGATTGCTATGCAGCCTTACATTACAGTAGAAAATATGATAATAAATTAAGAGAATGTATAACATTTATTTGTACACAAACAGGCTCCAATCTACAATGATAAAACACAGGCTACCTTTGCTTTCCAAGCATTAGTCGATGCAAGAAAACCCAATGTAAAAATAATTATAATAATATAATAATAATAATAATAACAACAACAATAATAATAATAATAATAATAATTAATTACAGTAGGTTAAGACGATTGTTGCAGAGAGAAAGCTTTAAGCCACAAAACAACAGACAATGTATTCAAACACATTATAAATAGATGTAGACATATTTTTGTCAACAATTTAAATAAAGATGAGCCTATTTAAATAGATCCATAGAACAACCCTTTATCAAGCAGCATTTACATGAAGAAAAAAAAACACAAGATCCTTGTAGCTCCTTGTTATATGTCTTCGATGACTTCACCACAGTGTTCCAGCTTTGAGTCTTTTTGAGATATTTGTTCCACACAATCTGCAGCCCATTATACACGACTATACAGAACTTTCTGAGAACAGTTTAGCACATAAAAGATTAGTTCCAGGGCCGATATTCCGGATTCAAAACTGTTAACCCGGAGTAAGGACAGTTTTTCTGTGCTTTGGGATCGTCCTTCACTGCGAACACAGATCCCTCCTGTAATCCACTGCCCGCTGTAGACTGGAGAACGGTACTGTCCTGGATCTCTGCAGGGCGAGAAAAGACCCATATAAATGATCAGTCTTCAAGGCCGAGGCATGCCACATTTTTTTTTTTTTCATGGAATCGACAGAGAAAAATAACACAGGCTATGAAAAAAACAATGACAGAGTCTGTAGGCTATCAACTGGCACAACGAAACAGGCTGCTGTCAAGAAACTGCTGTCATATCTGGACTAGACTATAACGCTTTGCACATATTTTAATAACTTTAATTGTGTGCTAGTAGGCCTATTTGTTGAGACCTACATAGCGAACCTCATTCCATTACAACATAATACATATTAGTTACTCTAGGCGATATTATCAACTGATGTTGATAGGTAGCCTAGGCCTATACAAATAAAAGGCCTGTAACAAAGCCTGTAATTTTTTTTTAAATGGCCACATTGCTTACTTTTGTGGTGGTTTTTAATGTGGTTCTGAAGCTCCTGCTCCTCTTGAAAACCAACCCCGCACAGCTCGCAGGGATGCGGCTTGTCCTTGGCGTGAGTCCGGCGGACGTGGCTGTCGTGGGCGGCGTGAGAGGCGAAGGCCTTCCCGCAGTGCTTACACTTGAAGGGCCGCTCTCCTGAGTGCTGCCGGATGTGTGTGCGGAGTATACTGGAGGCAGTGAAGGCCTGGAGGAAAAACAGCCAGTTATTAAGATATTTTCGTTATTCCCCCCAGTAGACATTTGTTAAATAATATTTATTAATAAAGCTGTTTTAAGGGATTATGTTTAGTTGCAGTTCATAAACTGTAATAAAAAATAACCTACATTTTTAAAACTAGTCGCACCTGTTAGGCCTACAGTTTGTCCTAAATCTCTTTTGTATGCCTAGGCGTGTAACTGTTAATTGATAGTTATAAAGATTATTAATAAAATGAAATTGGTCAAACATATGTGTGTAAGTCTTATTCGCCCTGAAAGTCGTTTTCCTCCAGGGTCCATGTAAAAAGACTGTAAACCTCTGGCCTCGTGCCGTATCTTTAAGTGTCCAGATAAGGAGAAAGGGGATTATCTTCAACAAAAACCCTCTCCGGGTGCATAAAAAGGGGAGGATTTTGAGAGAGAAAAGAACAAAAAAAAAAAAAAAACTTCTGCCCATTCCAGGACCGTAAATTAAAAGTAGAATCTCGGCAGACAAAAGGGGTGGGCGTGCATCTGGAGATAATTAGCATGTAAGTGTCTCCGTGGAGCGTGCCCAGCTACAGAGACAATAACGAGGGGCTCATGCACCATGAAACGAGGAAGCAGTTAATGGATCCGGGAATGCTGCAGGTTGAAAGCATGGAGGTATACTGGGTTTTAAGCAGAGAAGTGAGGAATACAAAGCAGACAGGTGTGGTACTTTTAGAAAACTAATTATATCCTGAAATGTTTTAAAGCCTTTTCATACTTTCATCAGGGGGATGTCTCGAATGGAAAACCGAGAACATGCTTTCTAGAAATGGAAAATGCTCTTATCTTATTTAAAAAAAAAAAACTTTACAAGGCTACAGCTTATATCATGTAAGGTATCAAATAAAAACAATGGGTTAAATAAACATAATCTCCCTATAACTCCTTGCTCCCCATAACTTCTGATGTTATGCAAAGCCCCAGCTGTTTAATAACACACTACGCACTGTAGTTTATACATTGAGTCCATTGCTAAGTCTTAAAGTCTTCTTACCTTATTACAGTAGACACACTTGTAAGGTCTCTCTCCAGAGTGCACGCGCATATGTTTGTTGAGACTAGAAGACTGGGAGAAACTCTTTCCACACACTGAGCACTGCAGACAAATAAAACACCAAAATTATTGTCATTTTTTTTTGTGCCAATTTTAAATGTAACCTTTAACCATTTCAAGCCTATTCATTTACCTAACACAACTTATTTCACAAAGACATTTTGCAGACTAATTTGGTGTTGCTGATAATTAAAAAAAAGACACAAGGTGTGTTTTCATTTTTTCTTTCTTTAATTTGTTCACTTCTAGCTGATACACTTTGCTTTTAACCAACTAGACGTCTTACGGTAATTTGCCTTTTTTTTTTTTTTTACAAGGCCCAATAAAAACCCTTAAGCATCTGTTTGTAAGTGACGCTGCAGGGAGCTGTTCTATCAGCACCACGCACACTTCTGCACACAGCATGTGCCTGAAACTCAAAGAATCCAAGGGCAAAACACACGTGCATACCGCACTGTTTTCCTACCTTGTGAGGTCGGTGTTTCTCGTGCACGTGTAGAATGTGGATCCTTAATCTGTCTCTCTTCTCGAAGGATCTGTTGCAGAGGTGACAGGGGAACTTCCTGTCGCCTTGGTCCACGCAGCGCGTGTACTTCAGGTGTTTGTCTCTGTAGTACTTGTAAGCAAACACTTTCCCACATCTGTCGCACTTGAAACCCTCACCAGAATCTGCGGAAAACATGGTGAAAATAGACATACATTATTAATATTTTCTTTAAAAAAAAAAAGGTGTTAAGTAACATTAAAGGTAAAAAAATAAAATAAAAAAGAGGTTCAGATTCTGACCTTCAGCAGAAGAAACCGCACTGTTCTCCTCTCTGGAGTCTTTCAGAGTAAGAGGGATGCCGAGGAACTGCATGTAGCAATCCCCATACCACACCAGCAGCTCCTGCCCGGGCCTGATCTCTTTGCAGGCCTCATAGAAGATCTGACCCTGGACCTGCACAGCGATCAGGTTCTGCTCGTCCGGGAAGCGAGCACACTTCACCAAAGACATCCAGTTTCCTGATCCTCCTCTGCCGTCAACAAAGTGACTCAATCGGCCGTTTTCAAACACCTTTAGAGGCAGAATGTTTGGAATTAAATCAGAGCTAAAACACAACAAATCATATGGTAATTTAAGTGCAATAGCCACACATTACCTCCCACATTAAGGTGTTGTCGTCGTATGTCTTAATCTCGCTGGTGTTGACCAGCTTCCCCTGGAAAGGTCCGAAGCGCGTGCCTTTTGGGATGCTGCTTTTATCCGTAAATATTCCACGATGCGTCACGTTTCCCCACGCTGCCTGGAGGATGGTTAACCCTAAAAAAAAAAAAAAAAAAATAGAAACAAACAAGTTTAGGATCTTAGCCAAATTAAAGAAGTGGCAGAAGAACTTTTTTTTTTAGGCTAATAGAAACTTGGCAGTTACCTTCTGGAAGTTCGAGCGCAACTTTATCCAGGGCGATAATGTGAGAGTCAGAAACTGGAACAGAAAACACACACATAATTAAATGACATTACGAATAGGCCTATAACTCTGGTACGGGTTAAGTTATTATCATGCTACTAAATAGGCTACATAATCCTGATGAACAATATCCTATTTGACCAATCACATTTTAGACTTATTTTTTTCTTGCATGATTCTTGCAGAACAAACTCAGTCTTAACAAACAACATCTGAAGTCTCACCTGACTTTTCCGGTAGAGCCAACCCGGATATCGCGTGCCCCACGTTCCGATCATGGTTGCCAGAGTAACCGTACAGAACCATGAACAAGTCGTCCTCGCTGAAATTATAACACGTGCGCGTTTTCTCTGGCGACTTCTCTGCGCTCCGGAGCCGAAACGAAGTGTCTTTAGGCGGTGAGGCCGAGGGGACAGAGGAGGGGACAGAGGAGGACCTCTCACTGGACGGGCTGCTGAAGTCTGTGGACAGCGGGCCGGCCGCGTGCTCCGTCACCACCGCAGCCAGCTCCTCCGGTTTGGAGTGCAGCGGGTGACCCGGTAACATCTGGCTCAGGTAGGGCATCCCGGAGGCGTTCATCATGTGCTCGTGCAGGACTGAGGCGTGGTAGGGGAACTGGGGGGCTCCGCCGTGCAGGCCGAGCGGCAAGGAACCCTGGGCGTCAGACACGAGACGTCCGAGGGACTTGAGCGGGTGGAGGAGGCTGTGAGTCCGAGGGAAGAAGTCTATGTAAGGGTGGTGGTGGTGGTGGTGGGGGCTGTGGAAGAAGCCTCGGGCCGGACTGCCTTTAAGCATGCCGGCGTGGTGGCTCGTGTCCTTAAGCACTACAGGGATGCTGGACAAGGACACAGACATGATGGTGAGAGGGACCGAGCAGAGGGTGAAATGGAAACGGTGGGGTTTCCTGTAGAAAGAGAGAGAGAGAGAGAGAGAGAAGAGAGGGAGAGAGAGTTATAAAAGTTTAATGCAAGACATCTTAAAAAGGGAAACGTTAGGCTACATCAGGAAAGGTTGACCTCACCTAAATCAATGATTTTAAGTAGACCTATGCCTCTATTTATTCCTAAATCAAGTAGTGTCCCTCCCCATAAAAAAAAAAAAACAGAGTAGAAAAATTGTTGCGGTGAACTAACCTTCAGTCCACATAAAAAAACTGATCCAAAAAATTCCCTAATTTGGCCAAAATCAGGGACAAGTCACTCTTTCTCCAGGTAGGCCTATAACAATATTTTAATGTTACAGCCTAGCCTATAGAAAAGACAGAATTTCCCATTCATACCCGACCTTACTGTGGACTGTAGATGGAAAAACTGGGCAATTATTGTATCGTAATAAAGCATTGCACAGTGAAATTGGACGGCCGACTTTGCAATATTTCCAGCTGAGAGCACACACAAGCAGACACACACCAACTGTTCATCAGCTGCTTTAAATGAGCAGCAAGGAACACGGTGTGTTCTTTTAGGGGGAGCGTTCAGCAATCAGCCAGTAAATAGAGAGACAAATCAGGGTCATGACACTCATTACCGAACAGTCGGCCGGAGCAGAGGTCAACATTAATGAAGCTTTTTACGGACTTTACCGTAAGGCAAATCGTTGAAAATAAAGAGACATCAGCAGGAGAATTGTTGAGAGGAAAATGCTGAGGTACAGGAAATATTGTCCTCATCATGAAACTGAAGTAACGATTTGTAAAAAGGGTAGGTTTAGTAAAAGCACTAAAGATAGGTTGACAAGTTTCGTGCGTAATTTCAAACTAATGGAAAACTTGGAGCATCCAAATTATATAAAATACGCCTACTCATAATAAAATAAAATACTTAAATTATTTCAGTGAGTAGGATACAATTCCCTTTATATGAAAGGCAGCAATGTTGAGCTGCGGTGATTTTTGAAGATAAAAAAAAAACAACTTACTTTGGTAGATGAAATTGGATGTTTCACAGTAAAGTTGTCTCTGTCATGTCCGCGGGCTTCAGTTTGAACAACAACATCAAAAACAGCACGCAAAAATCTCCACAAAGTGTGCCGCGGGGGGGAAGAAGAAAAAAAAAAGGTCCAAACTTGAGACTGAGCTGCAGGGACCTTTCTCTCTGTGTTGTTCTGTGGTCATCTGAGGGCACCTTTACTGAACACGGTGGGGTCTGCAGGAGATGCTTCCTTCGCTTCCTTCTTCCTATTGGTCAGGAGTCAGCTCGTGCCTCATGCATCTCAATGCCCCTCAGGAATACATCTTCCCAGGGACAACCCACACCCTTAACTTCTCCACAGCAATCTGCTTTCTCTGCTATGAGGCTGACGGGAGAGAGGGTTTCCCCTGCTCAGCAAACACTTGAAGCGATTTTATCCGACGGACCCTTGAACTAAAGATAATATCCTACTGATATGACCTGGATGTTGTGAGGAAGAGTTCTCTCTCACTGCAAACACAAGTCATTTAGAATAAATGAATAACACTGAAGAGAGTCATTTCCATACGTTCGTAAATGGGATCATGAAACAGCTTGTTTTGTTAAGTTATTAAATTCTTAGGCCCACTGGTCGTATCTGCTGACATTTGTATTGTTTTTGTGTGTGTCGTTTTGTGAAGCAGCAGTCACGGCCTTCTGCAGAAGGAGGTCATAAACTAGCTTTTATGTAGGCCTACCACTGGTAGCCTTAACATATATGTCAATATAAACATCAAATAAATAAATAAATACATTATAAAATGCAGTAGTAGGCCTATGGCTCGTTAACAGGGTATTGGTATTTAAATGAAGAAGGCCTACATTTCCACATGTAGCCCATCCAAAAGGAAAGCTAAATGTAGCATTTAATCTGAAGGGATTAGTTTAATATTCATTTATACAATTTCTAAAACACTATTTTCACCTATGGCTTACTTTGGTGGCAATTATTTTAATAAAATGTTGGCTACTATTTATTAAGTGTATATTTAGGCCATTTGTTACGTGTATGGGTAAATTCATTGAAAAGATCAGTGGAAAATGTAGCACTTTGTTATTGAGTATAAAGTATGCTAAACACTGTTCGTTGTTTATTCTTTTACTTGTTAGAAAAATAAAAGAAGAACACTAAGGCCTTTTTATGCTCAGAAGAACTCTTCATTTCTTTGTATGAAATAAGACTCACCCGATTAAATACTGCAATAACAGAATTCTTTATTTACAAGGCAAATAGCATCAGCGAAGCCATATTAGTTCACAACTTGCATAACTGTGGTTTTAACTTCTCTTGTATATCTAATTTTGCATAAAACGCTCACACACACTTGGGATACAAAGATGGATGCAGGTATACAGTGTGATTCATGTGAACAATGCAGAAACAAATATCTCGGGGGGGGGGGGGAAACACAACGGTAGGCTTTCTATAGAAAGTCCATATAGTATTTTACATATTGCTTCAATATCCTTATGTATCATCTTTTCCATACAAACAGGGTGGGTGTGTGTGTGTGTGTGTGTGTGTGTGTGTGTGTGTGTGTGTGTGTGTGTGTGTGTGTAGGGGGGGGGGGGGGAGGATAGCAGAGTCTTCAACCCAACACAAAACAGCGAGCAATGATGAGGGACAGAGTCTCCAGCAACTGCCGAAAAAAGTTGAACAATGATGCACCCATTCAATATTGTACACAAGTTATACAAATTTATACAGACAGCGGTGTAATGTACAAGAACGAGAAAGGACGAAATCTAAGCATTATGCTAGGGTTTTTAGCATTTCAAGGTTGCATCTTAGCTCTAAGAAATTGGCAGACAATACAAAAGGGCATTTTAAGTTCTTCAAACAATTGATTAAAGAGGAAAAACAAATGTTTAGTGGGTCCAAAAGCCTGGATATCTGTACGGGGCAAAATCATTGATTTGCTCCTGTCCTCATTATAAATGCTAAAAAATGCATTGCTACCACATGGCTTTAAATCTTTTTTTAAATGTTGACAATCTTTGGAAATTTTGCAAAGGGCTGTGAATCATTCTTCAAAATGGCTCAAAAAGTCTTGTTCTGCACGACTGTATGATACAATCAAAACAGCATTTATTTAAAAAAGAAAGTGATATTCTGTCGGCCTGCAGCCAAACAGCTGCAGGATTTCTGAAATCATGTCAAATAAAAGCTGAATGCAGACTATCTTTGTCAAAAAGTTCACTTGCTACAGCTTCAATTTTCAAAGAGAACTTAATGATAAAAAAACAAAACAAAAAGAGAAGCAGCAATGGGCAACATCCTACCTAAATGCTGAGAAGAGCATGGTGTAACTGCACGTCACCATGTTGTCAACAGGTTGACAAAACACACCATCAGTCACATGCTTAGGCCTTAAATGACAATACATTCAGAATGATTCTCTTCCTCTTTTATGCTGCAACATCTACATTTGACCCTGATAAGTGACATCAAAAATGTATATATCTTTTTTTCCTTTGTGGGCCTATGAACATGCTAACCAACAGGTCTTCTCTCACTATGAAAATAAAAGCTGGTAGAATTCAGAAATCCAATTGAAAGGTGAGGATTATTTGGCTTGCTCCAAGTTTGTCCTGGGTTAAAATAGTCGATATAAAAAAGTTTTGTTTGAGGAAAAATGTATTTTTGAGGTTAGAGAGGATGACTTGCTTTGGATCTTGTGAAGGTCAAACCAAACCCCTCCTGGGGCACAAGAATAGCAAGTCATTACCGAACACTTTATTCTGCCTGAGGTCATAAAATATGGCTAAGTGTCTGTCAGAGCAGGTCTGGTGAACCGTGCAGTCTTAACTCTGACCTCTGCGATAGAACAGTGGCTGCATAATCGAAACAGGAACGCTGTGTGTGGCTGCAGACTTTCTTGGTACAAACTGCAATAAAAAACGGTGTTTAATACTGCATCCAAACGTGGAGCAAAAATGTGTCCTTTTGTTTTCAGGAAACTGTACAAAAACAACGAAAACAAAAAAGACAAAAAGAAAAAAAAAAAACAAGAAAAGAAACAAACAACCCAAAGTGATTCTCAAGTAATCGTTATTGCTTGTTTACATCACACCAGAACAGTTTGCACCTAGCAGCTTGTATGAAGCACTTTTCACTCCAGACAACATAGAAAGCACACTTCTGTTAATTTTTTTTTTAATAATTGTATGGCTGTGTTGAAGTTGTCCTTATTTTTTTTTTTAATTTTTCTGTGACGTTCTATGCTAAAGGCAGAGAAGCAAGCGATAATCTGTACACTGTATACACAGCACACCCCCTTACAAACCTTCCCTATACCTCCCACCCACACCCATTTCTGCATCGTACCAGAACGTGAAGGCTCCCACTCCACCACCCAAAAAGTAATAAAAGAAAAGAAAAAAAAAAGAAAAGAAATACCTGCTCTGCTTCAAGAGGCAGTTGTGACCAGACAGGGAGGGAGAACCAAACCCTAAGGAATAAAATAAATAGGAAAGAAAATGTTTTTTCTTATCGGTATGTACAATCTCTGTAGTTCATTTTGAAACCATATATGATTTTGACATCTTCTTCTGAAACTCCAGGACCAAAGTATAATCCATAATTCAGGCTTAAAGAAGAATCTTCTCAGAAAGAATACAACCATTACTGTTAAAATGATAAAAAAGTGCCTCTTTCACACTTTGAGAAATCTTTTTTCTTGTTGCTACTAGGATAAAGAATCATCTACAATATTTAAAATGAATCTATACAGAAAAATAAAACTTAATTTAATACACTATATAAACCTCTTGACTAAATTAGTCTAATCATACAAATCTCCATTCCACTCAAACCATTCTTCTGCAGTGTTTTTCAAGATCAGTTTTTTCAACCATATCTTCATTCTACATCTTATTTCTCACAACAAGAAAAATAAAATAAACAACTAAAATAATAATAAAATAAAGATCAGCAAAAAGGCAAAACCGGTTAAGTGTTCCAGCTCCGTCCGTAGATTTGAACACAACTTGGGAGTCTTTGCTGCCATTTTGGAATTATGGGCAAATGTCCCAAATGAGTGAGAAAAAAGAAAATCAGTGTACGTCATTTTCTGAGATGAGATTGTAAATGGCCGCTGTCCACTGAGAGGAATACATTCATCAGAACAAGGGATCCCACCCACTGCTGCCCTCTTTAGGTCAGTGTCCCCCCCTGTTGAGGAGGCTTACAGTAAGTCACACTACGGTGAATGCAGCTGGACAGGCAGACAGACTGGCTCATCACAAGGCTCTCCTCCAGGAGGGTTAGGCAGGTTAGGACATAGATCCACAATCCCTCCCCCCCCCCCCCCACCCACCCCCAGCCCTCTGCACACACTCTGGTGTCTGTTCGGGGGCCGGGCTCCTCCGGGGGTCCGCCGAAGACACCCGGCCTGGGGGACAGACAGCAAACTCGGAGCTGGGGGTGACATCCGGGGGCCGGGGTCCGGGCCTGGCTGGTTCAAGGGGCCGTCAGATGGTTACATGTTTGTACAATTTTAAAGGGCCGACGTGCTCCTTGGACCAGCTGATCACTGAGGTTCAGGGTAAGAGCTCCATGAGGGTCAACAGTATTTCTGCAGAGAAACAACACATTTTCAGTCACAGCAATCTAATGAAAACACAAATTGAGCAGCACAAGTGTTTCTGAACCCGCAGAACTTCTCCGTAGCAAACCAGCAGACTTAAACAATTAGAAACCACCTTGGAGCACACCACAGAGGCTAAAAGAAATCCGTAAATCACAAAAGTCTGCACTAATGGCCAAACGGTAAATAATTGAAATTATCTAAGTGCCAATATATTTCTATAATCCTGGAAGGAGGATAAATCTAGTGACAGATATACTGGTGTGTTACAACAGTCTGAAGTGCAGACAATCAAACAGCAGCTCCTTGGTTAAATATTCATGGGCCTTTATTGGGCTTAAAAGCATCACGGACATCAACAGTATATTCTACATACCAGGCTAACAATACCAGGGAGACAAAGGAAGAAGGATTAACTCAGTTATCACTTCATAATCACCAGAAATAAAGTGCTGAAAGTCTGACTTGTTTTCTCCGACTTGTTAAAGGCTGAATATGTGATTTTTCACACTTAAATGTAGCAGAAATCAAGTATATCCTCTGAAAATAACTCTGTGAGTCATGACTGTACAATGAGTGTGACACCTGAGTCCCACTGTCTGTGATGTTTTCCTAGCCGTAGCTTCACTTTGTTCACATCGCCGGGACGGCCGGCTCATCCCCTCGCGTATAAAAGTTGTTTAATTGAGGGACTAGAGAAAAGAAGAATAACATAAACCCTTTTCACACATACGGAAATCTCCTGAAAAACTCCGGAGATTTCCAGGAGGAAATTTTTTTAAAGAATTTTTTACTCTGATATAACCCGGAGTTTATCTGGCCAGACTCCTAGTATTTTTTCCGCAGATAATCCGGAGGAGCTGATGTCTGAACGCGGCCGAATATACTCCGGAGAGTTTCAATTTGAGCCAATAGGAAGAGAGTGACGTTTATATAGTGACCGGCTAAAGTGTCTGCACAGCCACTACGATCTCCGTGCACGTAATTAAACGTCTGCGTTATGTTTTCTGTTCGTCAGTATGTTGTTCTCCTCTCTTTTGTGGATGTTGTCATTCCATTGGATTACACATAGCATTGACATAAAGGCAAATATTCTCATTATAACGTTGTGTAGCGGACTCTGCTGCTTCGGCCGCATTGTTTATTTACGTCACGTCTTACGTCGGGAAATCCCCCGCGGCCCCTCCCCTCTGACAGGGAAAGTCCCCCGCAGTGAGGAGCATATGTGAACGGCTAGGTCGAGAGAATCTCCGGAGAAGTCCTCCCGTAAATATCTAGATATTATCTGGAGTGCATATGTGAAGCGTTTCTAGATCACGGTCATTTCGGGTAAATTTACATGCAGTGTGAAGATACGAGCATAATAAAGATTGGTAGCATTGCTAACAAAACAATGCAGCGCAAGTTGTTTTGGTTTCATGCTGGTGCTCAAGGGCGACATCTGCTGGATCAAAAAAAAAAAAGAAAGCATATTCTGCCTTTAATGTCCGTTGAGAGTGTGTAAGTTTGACCCATCAGGTTTTTATGGTTCAGTCAAGCAGCTGATTCGTCTTGAATCCAGACAGTGCAGCATTTACACATCATACCGTAACATCTATATAGTCTAAATGGTCTGGCTCTAAAGTGCCCGCTGCTAATTACATCATTGTCCTCTAAGTTCAAGTGAAACATCAGAACTCCAGCTGGAGGCCTGACGTAAACTGAGTAAATTATTCACTAGCACGCCGGTTCAATAAGTGTACCCAAACACTTAGGGTCTTACCATAACACAAACACAGAAGATAAGCAGCCCGGTGTGAGGAGAAAGAACGACGAACCTTTTAGTTTTTCTTGGTCCCTTGACTGCTTTGTAAAACTGGAAGGGGTCTGAGCTCCCAAGGTTTAAACTCTAAAAGTGTCTGACTTCCTACAGAGTGCTTATTGAAAGGCACACACTGAGGATATTACCTTTCATTTGGCTAATTCTCGCTGCTACCATTCCAAAACTGACTTATTTTCCATGTTCTTCAGACCGGTGGTTCTCAACTGGTGGGTCGGGACCCAAAAGTGGGTCGCAGAGCTTTTTTCAGTGGGTTGCAAATGTGTGTGCCTGGAAGAAAACTGCTGTCAAAAAGTCTATGAAGCCCTTTTTTAAAATCTTTTTTTAACAAGTTTGTTTCATTCAGTGTCTTAGTTCACGCTTTCTAACTTCTGAGGTCCAAACTATACAATTTTTCTTTAAATAAATCGGATTGATTGGAAAATATGAGAAATGTGGGTTGCGATTTTTCATGTAGTTGGTGGGTCCTGAGGCTCGACCAGGTAAGAACCACTGATTTAGACTGCTGATGTTTTTGTCTTGTATTTACCTGTTCTGTTCCCATGGAGGGCAAGCCGGGCGAGGGCCCCGAGGCCATGGACGTGACGCTCATCTGCCCGCCCATCTGGCCCATGCTGCTGGTAGCCATGTTGGCGGCCATGGAGACGTTGTTAAGGTTCATGCCATTGCCGTTGTACATGTTGCTGTTGTTCTGCTGAGTGAACTGCGGCGATGCCTGCTGCTGTGAGAACATACTGTGGAGAGGAGGAAGGGTAGGAAAATCATGAGGTTTGGAGAAAACATTTAGCTCGTCACCGTTGGACCAATATACTGGTATAAACTGCTTACAAACGCGCTGGCATTACTGCGAGTGCAGCCACCGCATCACACATTGGAACTTTTTGATACTATCAAACATTTAAAGAACAGAGAGTTTATCGTTTTAAAAACATGTTCTTTGAGAAAGTATCAAAGTATTTTACCGTAAAATACGTTCTATAAGTCGCACCAGTATACAAGACGGAGTCTGTTTTTGGGGTCTCTCAGAGAGAAAAAAGGTTTAAACTGTTTTCCTGCGTGCTAATTTACACTACGCTCAGCAAAGTCTACAAAGTGAATATTACGTGCAGCTCTGTGGCTCTTTTAGTACCATCTATTTTTGCTTTGTGGAGTTTCCTACTAGCTGCAGTACGGAAGCTGAGCTCTCAGCCTACAGTGAACGTTCTGAAGTACCATCAGCCCGAGAGTCGCACTGCCCACCTTCACTGGTCGCTCATTGACTTTAATTGAGGAGTCTTTCAATCAGTCCAGCACTCCACAGGCTTTGTTTACTCAAGAATATGACACCGTTTTTGTCAAATGAATAATTTTGAGCTAATGAAAGAGTAAAAGTGGTTCTGCCAGCGCGCTCTGCCTCGCTATTTATCCCCACAGCTCGCGAGCAACAATGAATGAAGGCGAATTATTTCAGGTCGCCTGCGACGCTTATAAAAACTCTTCAGTATTATTTTGAATCCACAGCTGCTGAAAGAGAGAAAAAGAGAGACAGAGAGAGAGCAAGAGAGAGAGAGAGAGAGAAACAGAGAGAGAGCGAGAGAGAGAGAGAGAGAGCAAGAGAGAGAGAGAGACAGAGAGAGAGCGAGAGAGCGAGAGACAGAGAGACAGAGAGAGAGCAAGAGAGAGAGAGAGCGAGAGAGAGACAGAGAGAGCAAGCGAGAGACACAGAGAGAGCGAGAGAGGGAGAGAGACAGAGAGAGAGAGAGAGACAGAGAGACAGAGAGAGAGAGAGACAGAGAGAGCGAGAGATCAGAGAGAGACAGACAGCGAGAGAGAGAGAGACAGAGACAGACAGCGAGAGAGAGAGACAGACAGAGAGAGAGACAGAGAGAGACAGACAGCGAGAGAGAGAGACAGACAGAGAGCGAGAGAGAGAGAGAGAGCGAGAGCGAGAGCGAGAGCGAGAGCGAGAGCGAGAGAGAGAGAGCAGTGATCTGTTTTAATTCACAAGTCAGTTCATCTGGATTATGAATGACACTAAATGCATTGGCAACCTTTTGGTATCAAAACGTCAAAACCATAAAACCAATAAATGGAGTCCAGGACTTCTATTTTAGTGGCCGTGGTATTAAACAGGTATTTACATAGTTTGAGTTTTATAAATATAGTACTGCAGTTCAGAATTCTGTGATTGTGACAACCTTAGTTGGAACATGGTCTTATACATGTTTTAAAATACAGCAGAAGTTTACAGTTTCATTTACAGTAACTGCTGGTGTAGCTTCACCAGCAGTGATGGGCATTCAAAATAACTGCACAGAAAAACTCCATTTCCTAACTTATGGATTGGTTTACTTTTCATAGCACATAGAGGCAAAAGTATTGTAGGAAATCTTTTTCATAACCAGTTTCATAACCTCCTCACAAAAAGCTTTATAGTATTCAACAAGAAAAAATAAATTTGACCAAGCGTTAGCATAACGTTCTTTCCCCCAAATTTTCATTTCATGACCTGCTTCAGCCGTCACTTCAGTTTGGTTTTGTAAACAGGTAAATATTTCAATGGAATCGATGGATAAGCTGCAGCTACATGAACACTTCTTTATTATTGTGCCTATTTTTGATAACGTTCTAGCAGATAAGGACTTATTTATACACACAGTTCCTGTTGGCACTGACTTAACCAAAAGATAAAAAGTGGAAGGAGTATTGTGGGCAGGCTGACCTGAGTCGTTTTTCTCAGATAAATGAATGTACATTTATGACAACATCAGTGAAGTGTTCTCTTTGCAAAGTGTAGTCATGACGTTTAAGAGATATACATTGAAGTTCTATATCTGTGTCTACCTGTTTCCTCCAATGTTGCCTTGTGGCCAGCCGTTCATGTCAGGAGAGCCCTGGAAAGCAGCGTTTCCTTGGCCCTGCTGCATCATGGGGGACTGTGTGTGGGCCATGCGGGGAGAGAGCATGGGGCTCTGTGGCGTGCCAGGCCCTCCAAATCCTCCCTCTGCTTGTTGGTTCATACCTGTGATGGAGGCATTGAGACAGGTCAACCACAGTGGACCCGCAGAGACTCCACAATGTAATTATTGAAGGAGTAAATGTACGCATGCCATGTCTTTTCATACAATCATGCAACATGAAGACTGACAGTTTAGCAGAGAATGAGCTACAGTTGCAAGCATGATGATTAGCATGACAAATCCTGTTTGCATTCAGGATTATTCACGGGCAGTTCATTTTTCCTACATGCAGTAAACAGGCAAGGAATTAGGAAGACAGGGAATAAGGATAACAGGAAAGGAATTCAGAAAATAATAGGGAGAGGGAAGTTATGTCTAGTGGAAGTTATTGCTTTGTACAAACCCACGGGCCAGATTCAGATTAATGACTGGAGGTTAAATCAAATGTCATTATACACAGTAAACCATTAGATTCTCAGATCATTCTTAGATTACAAGCCGCGCTGTTACACTGACAGGTGGAGCTGTAATTATTGCTCCGCCTGCTCACAATCTTTGGAGTCGGGTGTCTCCAGAGTTACATTTAAATAACTGAAGTTCTGGTGCCCTCTGGTGGAGAAACAGCGCAGAGCTAGGAAACCATTTTGACAATACACAGAACAGAGATTGTTCGACCACGTCCTGTTTACATCTCATTTGTTACGTAACTTGAAGGTCAATTATGGAGCAGGATTTGGATCATTCAATGTCAGCTGATCAATGCCGTCATCAGATGATTGTAGCTACTGAGAGCGTATGATGCTGTGCAACTAGAGTCACATCGACACATAGACACAATGGCGAGCACATACACACACACACAGGTTGTAGGGTGGAGTGTGTGAGGCTTGGAGGGGGGGGGGGGGGTGGGGTGGGGTGGGGGGGTCATGGGAGTGGTACCTGAGTTGGGAAACTGAAAGGCACTGTGCTGCAATTGGGGGCTGAGTACGGCCCCGTACTGTCCGCCCATCATGTTTGTGTTTCCCATCATCATCTGTGAGGAGGAGGAGGAGGTGGAGGAAGAGGAGGAGGTGCCATGCAGGTGGAGCTGGGGGTTGGGAGGGAGAGAGGGCAGGCTGGGGGAGAGAGGGGAGGAGAAGGGGCTGGTAGAGGGAGGTGGCGAGGCCAGGCCTGTACTGGTACCGTAGCTGGGTGGGTAGGGGAACTGCTGGGGGTTGGCCTGGGGTATCCTGGGGTTACTCATGCCTCCGGCAGCCATGTTTGGAGGAAGGTTGAGGCCCTGGGCCCTCATGGCCATGCTGCGCTGCTGCTGGACCTGCTGGGCCTGCTGCTGCTGCCGCTGCCTCAGGTGATTACTCAGCAGCTCTCGCTGACGCTGCGCCAACATCTGAGCGTTGATGGTCCCCTGGGAGCGGGAGGAGAAACGTGTGAGAAAAGAACAACACAAAAAGAAAGGAAAAGCGTCAGTGATACTTATTATGCAAGTCTACCTGTGTGTCAGCAACTTAACAAACGCTGAAATTAAAGCTTTAAATAATAGCCGTCAGTCAAACTAAATACTACCTACACTCATACGCACATAAGAACATGTTTGAACAGACAAATAGTGTGACGGAGGAGGTGACGTACCTGGTTTGGAGCGCTGGCTCGAAGAGGTAGGTTCACATTCGACACACTACTCATCTGAGTCATCATTGGTTGACGGTTCTGGTGGGACAAGATGCAGAAAAAGAGGTTTAGACAAACACTTCTTCAACACTTATATATATATATGTACAGTATATAGAGATACATATATACTGTAAATGTAAATACATAGAGTTATGAAAAAAATACAGAAAATGTTACCAGATAGAGGCTACATGCTATTTATATAAAAATATACATAAAATAAAAATAATAATAATAATAATTTGTCCACTTGAACCAATCAAATACTTGTGTTCGTGAGTTGCACTTGTACTATCCAAATATAATCTACCATTTCCAGAATGTTAAAAAAATGTGATTGTCTGCTAATTAGAAAATAAACCCTTCTGGGCAAAGCTGAGGTCGTAAAACTCTCCAAGCCAACAAACAAATAAATGTATCTATGTGCAGTTAGACCTGGATACTGTACATGTGTGTGCAGTTAACTGTGTGCTCTGGTGAAGGGCTGCACTAATGTATGTTTCACATATTGTTGAAGATGAGTAATGGAAAATGAGAATCTATGAAGTTTTATATCAAGCAGCGTAAAACTTAAATATCGACGTGTTTCTTTAATTGGACATTGAACGTTCTGCAGTGTGATTATTGCACCAAATAAATCTTTCTTGTTGCCTTCACTGACAATTGAATTCAAATATTTCTTCACTGATCCTTACTATCACGGTCCAAATCTAATACAATACTGATAGTAAAAAAAGTGGATATTGTTAAAAACATTGTATCTTAGTTTTCAGACATACAGTTTTACAGGCTTAAAGCTATGAGTGGTTAATAATAACATGCCATGGTTAAGCCTGTAAACTCAAAAGGAGCTATAAACTCCCTGAACAGCACATCAGTTTCATTCTTTGAATTGTTAAACTGTCCCTATTATAACAAAATAAATACAAAAACCTATCTAAAGGGTTAATATTGTCTACGGGACAAAAATGATTAAATTGTTTTTGATAAAAAGAAATTGAACGACATTAACAACTATGATGAATCTTTTCCTTTTCAATGTGACCTTATGAGCTTTATTCAAGTTATTGAAACGACCAGCAGGTGGCAGGTAGACTTGATGTCCACGCTGTTACATGTTGATGTCCTCACCTGCTAAAAAGTTAACCTAAAGACAATCATGACAATCCCAATATGTGTGGTCCAATCACACAGTCGCTGATCAAATAAAGCAATGTTACATAATAAACACCAAAGAATCAGTACACAGTCCGTATCCTGTGTACCTGCTGTGACTGGAGCCGGTGCTGCAGCTGCAGCCGTAGTGTGTTGGGCTGGTTGGGGACGACTGCGGGCCTGAGTCCGGGCCTGGCCTGCATCCTCATCATGGGGTACCCAGGCCGTGGACCCATCTGGCCTGACATGGGGTGGAAGCCTTGCTCCTGCATGGGGGCACCCGGGTAGCCCCTCTGTGCCATGTGGGAAGGTGGGGGACCAAACTGCTGTGTGTACATGGGGGGCTTTTGGTCTAACATAATAGAGGGGTCCTGGGGGAACTGGTCCGGCTCCAGTGTTTGGCTCTGAAACAGGAAGTGGCAGAAACAAATGAAAGACATATCCAGTCATAAAAAAATAATTGGAAAAATTCTTTATGAGAAAATAACATTTTAGTATGAAAATGAGATTTAGGTCAGATAAATCTCACTTGTTTTACCAGAGCAGGGATCCCCAGAGCACGATCAATCTCCTCAAGGCCATCGAAATCTTTAAGTGCTGTGTACAGCTGGGACATCAGAGCTCCCTCATCTACTCCACTGCCTTCACCAGAGCTGTGCCCTGTACTGCACAGCAAATCATCCGGAGGAGCTGAGTGCACCGGCCTGGGAAGGGAGGAGACCGAGAAGGCAATTAACATATTTTCTCGATCAGAACATTTTGTTCAGTATAAACTATAAATTACTCACAGACCATAGAGGCCATGTTTTGCATTATATTATATATAAAAGTTATTTTATTTGTAAGTCTTACCGGCTCTGGTTTACAAAAGCAGTCTGATCGATGGGCATCATGCTATCGGGCCAGGGTGCTGTCTGATTGGGTGGAGCCTGTTGTTGGGAGAAATGGTGTCCGGCCATGCCAATATCCATATCAGGTTGTGCTAAATACAGAAAAGAAAGAAATCCGATGAAGTCAGGCTGCAGTTCTGGTTATCATGAAGAAAAAAACAATTGAAATCTAGCTATTGTTTTTTTTTTTTTCTCAAATCCAAACAAGCAGGACACAGAGTCCTGAGTAAAATATTACATTCACTTCTTGTGTGTTATACCTCAGCAAACCACTAGGTGGCAACTTTTTACAGTTAATATTGTATGAGTGAGAGGAGATCTTTTCATTTAGGTCTCACCACTCCCCATATCAGTCCAAGTTCTAAAAGACTGTGGCTGACAGTTCAGCAAAGGTGGCCTGCTTTACACTGACAGGTATTTATAATGCATGCCACCTTACTGAACGGCTGGAATGCACATTTTATTATTAAAAGAGAAGGGGTTTCATTGTCAAGGGGAGCTACTTTATGTTGTCATACATCTGCATTTTAACTGTGTACCCAATGTGTGAAAGAAGCACTGAGCTCTCACCATTGGCCATCATCGGGGACTGGAGCATCTGTCGAGGCCCTGGTTGGCTGATGGGCCTCATTGGCGCTCCGTTGGGTCCCATCCTGCCCTGCATGGCGCCTTGCTGCCCAGGGCCGGACGCTCCCAGTGGAGGGGCAGAGGCCGAGCCCGCCCATCCCTCCTGCTGCTGCATGCCTGGCCGTGGACCCCCTGGAGCCATCAGTCCTGCAAGAGGCAACGCAGGTAAGAGAGAGGAGTTAGAAAAGCCCCAGTGGATCACCACTGTACCCATAATGCAACAGTGCAGGGTAAAAGCTAGGAATGCAACAATTCTCAACATAATATTGAACAGTTTGATTCGGCATCCACAGTTTAATATGCACTTGCAAATTAAGTTCATTTAGGGTTTTGCGTACAACGAGCTTCCATGCATGATATTTCTCTCTGACTTGGCTCTGTTTGTGTGTGCCTGCGAGTCCACGCGCTGCGATGAGGAAACTCCATTACTTTATCATGGTGAGAAGCTGGCAGAATGAGGAAACACCGCCGTCTTTTTAATTCAGTGGTGTGGGGACATTTCGAGCATCGAGTATAATGACAAGGAAGACAAAATGGTAAACAAGAAAATGATGTCTGCAAACATGGCTTTTAACGCGTTACCTACTCAAATGTAACACTCAGAAATTCACAGCAACAGCGTACATCAGGCTGCAACGTTAGCAGGTTGTCACGTAGACACCAGCTGATCCCTGCATGACGCTGACGAGTTGAGAGTGAAAATACTGGAATGTCTTCCCATGTGTACATTTCTTAATGGCACTACCGCCTTCTATTTGCAGAGATTTCACATCCTACACTAGGAATGTGGGTAAATGGAAACATCTATTTGCTTAAATAAATAGTTTGGGGAAAATAAAAAGAATGATTTTTTGCTGATTCCCTAAAATTTGCCAAAAACTCCAAAGAAGGGAACACGCGCCAATAACTGAACTGAAAACCAAAAACTGATGTACATATTGAACCATGTGCTGACTGTATTGTGGCATCCCTACTCAAAGCCATCTTTGTAGTGCAGGGGGGCTGTTAGAGGAATTCTAATATGTGGGAGTGACAGTGAGCGAAACTTTGTGTCAGAGTGACTAAATATTTCCTGTCACAGGAAGTGAGTCACTGTGCCATGACATGATATGTCACAGGCCGAGGCGACACAGGCAGAGTAAAAAAAAAAGAAAAAAGTTTGTTGTTTTAGAAAGTTGAGAGCCGCAACATGTGTTATAACAAGGATGCAGAGATATGGTGTTTGCTCTAATATTTGTTCCGAAGTCAAAAATCAGAACTTGAGATTCCTTCTCTTTTGTGTCCTGTGAACGATCAACGGGAAGAAAAGAGGCTAGTAAAATCAGATTCAACTTTTAATCACTTTGAAACCCAAACTTCAATAAAAAGGCTTTTATTTTATTTATCTTTGAGCATCCTTTACTCTGATGTATTTTAACATTTGAGCTCAAACGTGTTTTCTCTGTTTAATTTCTATCGCAAACATCATGTTTTAAGCTTTACTTTGCACATATTATTCTCTTTATCTATTCAATCTTATTCAGAGATTGCGTGTAATTGTTTCAAACAGACTCGGGCTCAGTTATTTCTTTTTCTAATGGACAAGACATACAGTGCAACTAACTCACTACCATCCAAGATAAAAATAATAAACCCTGAACACACACCTGTGCTAACCATACCAGACTGATTAGCCAGCATGCCGTGATTTCCCACCAAGCCTTGCTGCTGTTGCTGCTGCATGAGAGTGTACGGGCTGTTGGCTCTTATGGGGTACTGTAATGAGGGCTGCTGGGGTGACACATTCATATCCAGGGACACACTCCTCACAGGCAGACCCCGGCCTGGCTGGCCTGGTCGGACACCCCCAAAATCTAAAAGAGAGGAATCAGCAAGTTTAGCCAATGATAAATTAAGAAATAATACAATAACATCTGCTTCACAGCTTCATAAAAAGGATAATTTTGTAGGACTAACTTGTTGGGGCCATGTTAGCCCCCATGGCTCTGTGTTGCTGCTGCGCGGCCATGGCAGGATTGTTTTCAGACATCTGCAGGATGTCGTTGATAATGTTCTGTTTGTCCATGGGACTGGGCAACGAGACGGGCCGGGGTTCACAGAAGAGCTGCGGCTGAGCGTTCTGCAGGTCGTTCAGGATGTCGTCGAGCTCCGACGACTGGAGAGAACATCCAAAGAAAAAGAAAAAAAGTGTGAATAACAAGAAACAGATGAGCCAACTTGGAAAACAATGTTGTCTCACCTGCACACATTTAGAGAGCAGACTTGACACTGTAAACACAACAACACGTGTAAGATCTAAGAGATGGTAACAGCAGGCTTGGCCTTGCTTATAATACAGCAGTAACCCCCGGGATAAAACAGACCAATTTCATTGAATCTAGGCCACGCTTCACATTGACTTAGCTCGTCTGACACACACTCCTCTGTGCCTATTGGCTGGTGATTTTTTTTTTTTTTTTTTTTTTAAACAGACAATTGGGTCTGGTTTGCTTTAGAAAGTCCACAATTTTTTAGCACATTTTTAAGAATGCCATTAACTTCTTATGACTGTTTTTGTCCCCATTGAGAGAAAACATGTGGCTACAGAAGCTGCTTTCTGCTGAGTAACACGGGAGAGCGGTGAGCGGTGGCAGGAGTTTGGTTGGTGCCCAAGTTTGAATTGAATATATAAAACATAAACAAAAGTGACTGTAGAGCTTCTCTGTGAGGCGTGGGGGAACTTCAGGTAAATAAGTTGCACTGTCTGGAAGTGGCCACAAGAGTGCAGCACACTTGGAAACACTGGCGGCTCCTGATCGTGACATACTGTACTGTACAGCAGGAAAACAGACACAGCGTTGTACCCTTAATGTTCCAGACAGTGACATGTATTAGTTTAGCATGAACATGATGCTAGAGATAGCCAGGGTCCAATATGGCATATGTAATGTTTATCTCAAAGCCTGCATTCTACTGTAAGACCTTTAATCCTCCACCTTAAGATACTCTGTAACAGAAAACATCTCCACACACACACACACACACACACACACACACAGCAGCAAACAGATAACCTCCCAATGCCAATTGCTACAAGCATACAGGATATGTAGGAGAGCTAGAGAGAGCAGCAGAGTGAGGGTGGGGGGCGGTGGTGGGAGAGAGAAAAGCCCTAATGAGGTCAGGAATGATGTAATGCTCCTGTACGCTCTCAGTTTGCTCTTTCCTCCTCCTCTCCAATTCTCTCTCTCCTCCCACTTTCTACTCTCTCGTCTTCTCTGGTTGCTTTTACCCTTAATGGGTCCTATTTCTATCAATCCCCGTTACTCTCTTTTCCCTCAATGCGTATCAGCGCATGTAGAGCAATCCACGTCCTTCCTCTCTGCATTACCGGAGGATACACTGTAACTGAGACTCAAACTGCACAGATTTGTAAAGACAAAAATCACTCCTGAGCAATGCTACATTTGAGGATCATTTCTCAGGGTTTTGGGTGTAAGTGTGTTAGTAACAATGGAGGAGCTGCTAAGACAGACAATATATTACAAGATCCAGTTTGTTTCAGGGCAAACATGCATATTTAAAAGTCCTGTATGTTTTTTGCCTCAGGCACTTGCTCTTTGTGAAACCCCACACCCAACAGACGAATGTAAATATCTGCAGAGTCAAAAATTGAGTGAGAGTAAAACTTAACTGTGTTTGGGTCTTTGTAATTGTGGTTACTTACTAGATATAAAAAGTTATTAACAGTAAAATGTTCAAGTTCTTTGACAACATATAATATATGTAGACACGTCGGATACAAAATAGGTCCAACTTTACAAATGCTGTGTGCTTTAGAACAGTACAGGTTGACTGTCTCACACCAGGGAGGCAAAGAGGCGGAGCCAAATGTGTATTCTTACATTGTTTAAATTGTTCTCAGTTTAAATTGATCAAAACTCTCAAACAGAAAGTGTTTAAACACGTTGTATTTGATCCAAATTTTATGTACAGTACCCGCCCCGATGGCAAAGTGGAGTAAAGGTTAGGGAACAGTGTACCACTCTGACTTGACGCAGGCTATTTTATAGGAGAAAGGGAACTGAGAAACAGGGTGGGTAGAGCAAAACTGCTGCTGTCAAGTAAAGCAAAAGTAATTTTACTTTGGTATCAGAATCTAATTTTGTCAGCAAAAACATTTTAATTTTTGTAAAAATGTGTTCACTGACTGAAAAGGAGCGATATGCAAGGTATTAACTGAACTGAATCTAAAATGACCTTCCTGTATTATCAGACATGAAGGAAACATGCTACGTTAAAGTGCTGGCTTCTCTGACAACAGCGCAGCAGCCAGTATGTTCTCCTTCTAAGTTTAGAGTCTGGTTCGGTGTGGTTTGTATTTCTTTTTACCAGAGAAGATAAATAGTTTTAAGGCACCCCAACATGGTTGTTTTGGACGTCCCTTGGTTTGCCAGATATGACATTAGTTATCACGCAAACCAACACGTGTTGCAGCGTTCAGATATAACTGATTCTACCCGACCTAAAAAGAGATTTTTCTAATAATCTCAAAGAGCAGAAACGTGGTAAAACTAGGATAAATACTTGAGATGCTTTGCTGATGCAGGAGTGGCTAAACACTGAAGCTTCCATGTCTATGACATGGCAACCTACGTGCACATTGACTGAAGGAAGGAGGGGGCCGAGGGAGACAGCTCTACCCAATGTTTTGAATTTAAACTGAAGCACGCAATTTAAACACTAGGTGTTACATATTGCTCCTTTAAACACTTTTTAGGATTATTTTTTAATGCAGGACAGGTGATAAGAATAAAAAAATATATATAGTTAAACAATTAAAAAAAATTTGTGATGGCAGCAAAAACTTTCAAAGTTATGATGGAGGATCAATTATCCCAATAATATGTGCTAAGTGATTCAGAGGATAAATGGCTCACTGGTTTTGGAAAACTTTAACCTTTGTTTTCTCTTTTGTCCTGCGTGTTTCTGAAAATGTAGGTTATATTTGCCTGCGATTGAGCACCAATGAAAACAGCAAGTATTGACATGCAGTCTGACATCATACACTCTCTTAAAGTATATTAAGAAATGAGATACATTTCTGTATTTTCTTTAATGACTTAAGTTTTTCCGGTCATAGAGGGGAATATAGCCATTGTGTTAAATATCCAACACAATTCTTGTCAAAGAAACACAAAATATTTGTAAGGTGAACTGCAGTGGTTTCTACATGGCGATGCAATGACCAACATACTACTGATGATGATTACGTACTTAATTTGACAACATTACAAAAGGAAGATGTTTCGTTAAGGAGGATAGAAAGGGGATTATGCAGCTTCAGAGGGCGGTATGTTTCCATGGCACTGTTTGCGAATGAACACACACACACACACACACACATATAAAACAGTGATCATCTTGCCTGCCATAGGGTCATGCGACTAAATGACCAAACCTGTACTTCCTTTAGCCATCAGCAAAGCCACTATTACTGTTGCTGTGCTCTGATTTCTCATTTAGCTCTGCTCCAGGCATCAATAATTCAGCCCTCTAACAATCATGAGGAGGAGAAAGACGGAGGGAGGGAGGGAGGGAGGGAGGGAGGGAGATACAGCGAGAACACAGTGGGTGAGGTTAGTACAGAGAGAAGGATGAGTGGACTTTTTAACTAGTACAGTCAGCTTTCACACATGGCTGAGCAGCAATTCACCAGTGAGGAAGAGAAATCCACTCACACACATGTAATGGCTCTAATGAAGTCATGGCTTTAGTACATCTAATAAATGCCCTTGTCCTGGCTTGGAAACCATAGGCACTGAAATGTGTAATCACCATCACTGTTAAACGCTCCGAGGGCTTTAATCACCACCTCTCTGTGAAGCGGATTTTCATTTCGCTTCGAACACTACTACTACTGCTGCTGCTGCTGCTTCCCTTAAAATGAAACATCCAGCGTCCAGACATCCACATAAAGTCTCTCAATTTCTTCCTCCCTCTATTGTTTCTTGTACGTTCCTTGTTCTACAAACACACCACTCCCTCTCCCCCTCTATCTCCATGGTAGCAGAGAGGACATGCAGGAGCATATGGCTCATCATTTTCACTCCGCCTGCCGAGGCTGGGCTCTCCTGGGGGTATCTACACCTCTCTCATCTCTCCTTCTTTGTTCAGTTTCAACAGCAGCTCTTATTATCCGTCCAATCACCTTTTTTTTTCTCTTCTTAAAATGTACCTGAGCACATGCTGTACGTTACCACACAGCTAGCAACATTGCCGTGCTAGCTGACATTGTGTACACTGCACATCTGTCTGAACACTTAGGAATGTGCAACACAAGGTGGAAAAACAATAAGACAGCAATGCCTTGAACATGCATCGCAACAGAAGACTTTTAATTTATGTTACTGACATTTAAATGGCGTGCATGTCATATGCAGACTTCTCTTTAAAAAGAGAGCTTATGGGAGGACAAGGGACACTGAAGGTTGAAAGAGCATGTACGTAATTTTGTGTTTTGCCATTTTTGTGTGTGATAAATATGACATTTGCCTTCTGTCATTAATATGTGTTAAGTAGAATGAATTGTACATGTTCTTCGTTATTCCTGTCCTTAAAATATCATTTTAATTTCCAGTTTTAGCGAGCTAAAAATCCTGCTATGCTGAAATCTCTGGTTTTACCAGCAACACTCCCTCTGCTTTTTTTCCCATTTTACTTTCTTCCTCTTCTCTCTTTCAGCGCCAGGCCTGACCTGAGCGCTGTGCCAAACCTGAGGACTCGGGCCAAATGCAACCAGGATCAAATAGCTGGAGAACCACAGGGGCTCCTTCCAAATGTCACAGTTGTTTGAAGCTGGGCAGACAGCTTCACTCAGATTGTGCTGCCAACACATCAGCAGTGAAAGGACCCGGATGTTTATATACGTGATTAAAAATAAAGATGTCTTTAGAGTGTACAACAAAACAGTAAATGTGTATGTGATTGTATGTATGCCACAAATGCTACCTGACCTCTACTCTGCAGGACTGTGTTTAGCTGTAGCGTCCTGTGTGGACATGGGACTTGGGAGGAGACAACATCTGCCACCTAACCCAGATTAATACTCAGACAGAGAGAGAGGAGGCAAGTAGAGCAGTACAGGGCAGAAAAGTTTTGGAGTTTTGTTTGGCTACATGGAATGAGGTAAGAAAATAAGTTTTACAGAAGTCTTTTTATTGTTCAAAACACAGCAATGATGCAGTAAAAAAGAAAGGACAAAGAGGGTACTGAAACTGACCTGTTCTGCGCGGTCGTATCCTGCGTCTTGTTTCTCTGCCTTGACAAGCGGGTGCTTTCCACCTTCCACCTTCACCTCCCCAGGCTCCAGTTTAGGCACCTTGTCCTTAAGTACAGTGTCATCTTTATCCAGCAGGTAGCGTAGCAGGGCATTGTCTTTCTTCTTAGGGCTCAGGGGCTCCTGCTTCGGAGTAATTTCTGTCCCAGCAGCTGCACCGCCAGCCCCGGGGTTTTGGTCTTGGCCCAGCTCTTTGCCCGTGGCCTCCGCTGTGAGTTTGGCCAGGTCTACAGGAGACGTGCTGTTCTGAAGCAGCTGGTGGAGGATCTTGTGTTTTTCTTTAAGGGAAGTGGCATGTGTGTTCCCCCCAGTTTGGCCGGCCCGGACCCCCGTCCCGACCAGGTCCTTGCCCTCGCCTCCTGCGCCTGGAGAAAGGGGCATCTCCAGAGGCTCGGGCTTGGTGGTGAGCAGTTGCAGCAGCTTAGTGTTGCCCTTGTTGTCATGGGGACGGTTGTGAGCATCATGGCCATCAGTGGGCCCGTCTCTCTCCTCCTTGGGCTCAGCTAGGTTTCTCTCTGTCTGGCCCTGCGTGGGCCCCTGACCCCCCTCTGAATGAGGTCCAAATGAGTCTCCTGAACCACCTACAGGCCCCCCACTGCCTCCAAGTTTTGACATGAGATGAGAGTTCACCCCTGACCCGGTTGTCACCCCAGCTGGGGAGCCTATCTTTCGGTCCGGAGACCCGAGAGTGTGCGCGTGGGGGGGCCCGTGTCCCACGCCGTGACACTCGCTAAGAGCCTGCAGTGCTGACAGAGAGTTGCTAGTGTAGCTGTTAGCATGGGTGCTAGTTGTGTTGCTATTACCTGCACTCCCAGGTCCTCCTCCGCACATCCCCACTGGAGAGGGGGAGTGCATGCCTCCTGCTACACGAGGACTGCCGGCCCCCCCAGGACTCCCTCGGTGTCTGGGCGACAGCATAGAGTTCTGCTGAGGTGGATGTGGTCCACCGGCAGGGCTGGGGCTAGCGCGAGATGGGCTGTTCATCCTCCAGTTAGTGCCCTGCTGTGGAGGCTGCATGCCCCCAGTGTGGTTGTGTGGTGGGGGGCAGCCGAAACGGTAGCCCTGCATATGGCCCCCCATTGCTGCAGGCTCTCTTGGGCCAGCTGGGCCTGGAGGGGAGAAAGGCGTGCTGTTGCTGCTGATGGTAGTGTCTTGGCCCTGAGGCCCCGAGCCTGGCAAAGAGCCTGGGGTTGGAGGAGTCATGGAGGGGGTGGAGGGGTTTATCAGTTTGGGAGCCATCCCTGTGGCCTGACCGCCAGGACCCATGTCCTGACCCATTCCACAAACTGTCTGCTCCCTGGAGATGTACACACACAAGAACAGAAAGCACACTTAAACAGTTGAATAATAAAGTTCAAGAGAAATTAGAAAGCAGTGAACATTAGTCAATTCAGTCCCTCGAAAAATAAGCGCAACTCAAACCACGAGCACATCTTAACCCGCTGACACAGAACACATGAAGCCAGCATGGTGTGCTGCAGGGCACGAACAGGCTAAAACATGAAACCATGTTCATGCTGCAAATTTGCCTCTGTCTTCCTGACACAGGTGTAGGTAGAGAGACATACCTCTGGAGAATGTGCAGGGACATGTAGAGCTGGGGTTCGTTGGTGGCAGGTGAGCGCACCAGTTTACTCTTGGTGTGGGCTGACACGATGGTTCCATCAGAGAGGGAGAAACGATAGATGGGGCTGAAAGCCTGTCCGTGGCGGAGCACTAAGGACACATACGTACTTATATTAGAAGATGCAAACACAAAACATGTCATAAAATAAATGAATTTGCAAACAAAAATGGACGACTCATGCTTGGTCGGCTATTTAGCTTTTGTACTAAGCCCTGTATTTACTTACATTGACACATATTGCTGATAGGTTGATTAATGCGCAACTTCCTAATACAATAAATTCAATTCAATTAATTTTGAATTAAGATTCTGTTTGCAGTTTTTATTTAGGGACTGAAGTAGCAGCCTGTGAATCCATAAGCTTTTTTTTGTAGAGGGGGGCAAATGATCAAACCACCATTCTATAAATATGCACTTTTCTGTAAGCATTAAAAGGACCAAATTAAGTAACTCTCCATGAATCAAACATGATAGCCAATGGCAGGTAATTAGGATTACCTTCCTGCTGATGTCTCTTGGCAAAAGACATTTCCCCGTCGTTCTGCAGGTGGAACCTCTGGATGCAGCGTCTCACTAGATCCTCCCAGCCCGGCTTCATGGACGCCCGCAGGAGACTGGTATCCAGGGACGTTATCTTACCTAAACACAGAGGAGGGGGTTAAGTGGTCTTAGTCAGACATAGAGGTGAGGTTTACATACACAAGCAAACACCAGCAGGGCTGCCGGGGATTCAATGTCTCTGTCAAATATAATTATGTAGAGCACCTTGTTGATAAGAAGATGCCCTTTACTTTGCCACTCTGCTGTATGACAGCTCTGTGGTATGATGTCTGTAGAAGTAGTAACCAGGATTCACACGCACGCACGCACGCACGCACGCACGCACGCACAGAGTGTAACAGTTGTTCCTCAGTGGGTTGTGATTTAAATGGAGGCAATGATGCATTTAACAGGCTGAAAGCAGACTGCTGCTTGAATGACAGCCAGAGGGACTGACTCAAGACTTGCCACAAACATTTACAACAGAAGCCATGATGATGCATAACATCATTATCATCTGATGAGCAAGTGAGGATCACAGAGGCAATATTTATTAATCATGAATATTTTCATAACCTAAATTAAAACTCTTATTCTCAAACAAGAAAAACAACCCTTAATATGTCCAGGGCCCTACAAAAAAAAATGTAGTGAGATGAAGGCGTGATTCTTGCTAGGTGGGGAAGTAAATTACTATACGCCAGTGAGTTAATGGGTGTGCTTTTTTTTTGTGTGTTGTGTCTTTGTGTGTATGCCAAACACGAATGTTACAAGCACATCAAAGACCAGGTGAAATCCAGACATTTGTGTGCATCAAGGCAATGGAGTTCACAGATTTCTTTTTACCTCCCAGCGTGCAGACAGAGGTGGGCAGTGGGTTGAACTACCATGTTTTATCCCTAAGGGCCTTTACTGAGGCTATAAAAATCTTTTAATACCTCAACCTGGTGTGAAGTGATTTATAGGCCGGTGACATGGGATGAAGAGTGAATGAGCATGTGTCTGAGTAGAGACATGTTGTTTTGCAGAGTTTGGGAGAGGTATCTGTTTAGAGAATGTATTCGGAATAACTTATTATCATTCACTGGCCATTGTTGCTCTGAGGACTAAGAACATGTGTCTATTGAAGAGAGTGGACTACGTTTTAGAACTGTTCTATGCTTTATTAGTTTGTAAATCCAGTGCTGGGTGAGCGGTTTGAGTGTACCTTGCAGGTCCTGGCGCGTTGTAAAGCTCTCATGCGTGGGAAGCATGGGTCTTTCCTTCATGGGCACCCTTCGTGCCACGCAGATCAGGCACGACTGAAAGTCTAAAGGGGAGAGAGGAGAAGAGAGAGGGAGCAGAGGGGAGGTGTGCAGGAAAGAAGAGAGGAGGTAGAGGATGCAACAAAGAAGACGAGAGATGGAGGGGGAGGGGAGGGGAGGAAGAAGGCGTGAATGATGGGAGACAGAGGGAGGGAAAGAAAATGAAATGCATGTTATTCCCAGGCAGCATAATTAATACTGTTATTAATGAGCATGGGGATCAGAGCTACGCTGCTTTCATGAGGAGGAGCAGCGATCGCTGGCAAGGGAAATGATGAAGTGTGACCTTTGAAGGTGTGTGTGCACGTGTGCCTGCTGGATTGCGTTTCCGGTTAGTCTCCCCTGCATTGCCATCTAGCACCGGCGACACCTCCCCTGGCCCGACTTTAAAGATTGCCATCGCTCAATAATGACAGCAGCACACCATTGATGACACTGCCAAGTTCAGGACTGGGGTGACCCCGAAAAGTCTGCCATCTGACTTCCCTGAGCCAGTAATACCCACAATCCCACATGTTTCAAGCAAAGGAATGCATGCCAGAGCTGACACACACACACACACACACCTTCTTGGGTGGTCGGGCCCAGAGATCTGTGAATCTCTCCAAACTCTCTTGCTTTCCCTTTTCTTCCTTCTCAGTCTACGGCTGGACAAACTCCTCCTGCAACTTTACCCACTGATCCAGGTTTACTGCTAACACGAAGACACACACTCACTCACTCTCTCTCTCTCTCTCTCTCTCTCTCTCTCACACACCTCTGGCCTGCGTCCTAGTCGGTGCATTTGCCAAAGTATGGCTGGCAAGCAGCTGGTGCACAAAGAAACCCGGAGAGGGGTGAAGTCAGGTTGGAGGAAAACATTTGCATTTTCACTCATTGTTCTAATCAACCACTGATCTAGACTTTTTATTCAGTTATGTTGGGAAATTAAGGTTGCTCATTTAGTGGAATTTATGCAGTAGAGGTAATTGACTTGTTTTGAAAAGCATTACGCAACTCCTTTTCTTTGTGCAACGTTCTTAATATCTTTCAAAAAAGGAAAGGCACTTGTGATGGAAATTTCCTTCAAACTACGGGATCTCGGGTTTCTTGCAGCTCTGCAATCCACAGGAAAAGTGCACTGCCCTCTCTGTGACTTACTGTAAGAAGAACAGAAGTAACACACAATTCAAATCATTTCCCAGGAAAGGTGAGCAGATGTCGACACCGGGAATGCAGCTCCTCTCTTTTCTGCTCACACAAGCTCTGATAAATGTTTTAAAATAAGTTGATATGCGGTTGTTTTGAGACTTATTTGAAGGTTATCCAAAGGTTTCACTGATGCAATACACTTGTTCTAAACAGCTACATCCTGTACTTGCAGCCATAAGCTAGGGTTTGTGAGGGATGTACATGAATTATAGATGGGCTTTAATGACAGCTGCCCAGCCTCACGTCTCCCTCGTGTCACTTAACTTTTCATGGATGCAGGTTGAGTGGCACCGGCTTTGCTCTTCATCAGCTGCTTAAAGGACTTTTTTTTAAATGCCAGTAACAGGACTTGACTAAACCTTCTCTATTCAGAATCAGTCAATGCACACCATTAACCATTCTGCTGCGGTCAAGTTCGGAGATTTCTTAGAACAAGGAAAGCCCATTAACTCCTTTTTTGTCCTGATCAAGGTTTTTGAGCTTCAACATGAGCAATCAACTCAGCTAGCAGACACCCTCTTCAAGCTCTTTAAGAAATCGAAATCAGTTGACTTTAATTCAGTCACTGAACACAGAAGCAACCAGCCTGGTGTCACTTCAGGTAGAAATGCAAACGTTTTTTTTTCTTCTTCTAATTTAGGAGTTTAACTTGGAGTTTTTCCTCATTTATTTACGTTAGACTTCAGCGTCACAGATGATCTTAGGCTAATTAATTTCTCCCTAAGGCAATCTTTCTGTCATGAGCTTGCTCTTCATAATGAACGCAGTGTATAAGAAACTGTTCCACTCATGGCTTGCTTTTTTCAGGACAGCTCAGAGATCCTTATCCTGTGAAATCCTACTTTTCTTTTCGTTTATTCACAAGTTTCCTAATCAGAAATGTATCCAAGATAAGTCAAAATCTAATCATAAGAGAAATTCTGAGAAGTTCAAAAAAACTAATCTTGTCCAAGGTTGTTTTGTAGGGTTGCTGTTTTCATATCAAATGACACTCTTTCTCCCCCTCTCCCCCTCTCCCCCTGCGTACCGTCTCCTTCCTCCTTGATTGACTTGGGCTCGGAAACTGCGAAACACTGCATGGTCTCATATTTCTGTGGCTGGGGCTCGTGCTCGTGCTGCTCGTCCTGGTTCTCGCCGTGCGGGTTGACCAGCATTCGGCAGTTGAATGTGTGGCTGTTCCTCCTCGGACCCTCGCTGGACCACGGGACTCCGTTAACTGCGGAGAAGGGGCGAGAAGCAGCATTCTTCAGAGATGTGGCTTCCATAGGGGAATATTTATTGGATGATTTTTTTTTTTTTTACTGCAGCCAAAATAAGGGGAGACAAAGAGCCAAGAGAAGCTACCACACTGCGAGTGAAAGACATAATGAGAGCAAGACAGACAGAATGAAGGCGGAAAAAGTGTAAAAAAAAAAAGGAGAGAGCGGTTGCTGGGTAGAGATCAGTCACGATAAGCAGTTGGAAGCCTGAGCCCTGTGCCATCTATCCACAGCAATGCATCACAGCCAGGCCTCCATATGCATGTCCTCTAAAACATCTCTGCCAATCTTTTTTTCTGCTCTCCAACACTTACACAGGCGCGAGCAAACACGCATGTACACACACTTATAAAAGAACAGGAGAGATGTTCAGTCACACACACACACACACACACACAACTCATTTAACTCTAGCAAACTCCCATCACACTCCATCTGGTTTGTGATCTCATTCGGTGCATTGATAATCTCCCAGTATCTGGGACACAGCCCACTGATCGTTTCCAGGGTGCTCGGCTCTGCGCTGCTCCCCCACCCAGATGGCTGGGCACTCAGACCTCAATCCGAAGCACCGGGAGAGGAGAGGAAGAGCAGAAGAGACTTAGAAAGAGCTCCTGACATACAATGCGATCAGCTTTTATGAAGAGGAGATGGAGAGGGCGAGAAAAGGAAGAAGAGGGCAAAAAAAAACGACAGAGAGAAAGAGAAACTCTGTCTGTCTTGCAAAAATCAACTGTTTTCATGATATGAGCAATGCTAGGAAGAAAGAAAAAAAAGAACATTGCTCTTCAGGGAGGATTCATAAAATGGATAAGTGAGAGAATTACAATGGGAACTTGACGAGGGTGAGAATAACACACAAAACCAAGAGAAGGGGAAGGAAGGGCATGAGAGGAGAATATAGGAAGGGAGCGATGCTGCTGACAGGGGAGAGATGCCGAAAAAGGAAGTTAATTAGCTGAAAAGGGAGGGAGGAGGAAGACGAAGAAGAAGAAGAAGAAGAAGAAGAAGAAGAGCGAGAGCTACTGTCTGAGCTGAGCATGAGCAAAAAGAGAAAATGAAGAACTGATAGGTCTTACACACAAGACCAACCCTGCAGATTAACCATACCCAATTTTCCTTTGCAGCAGTTGAGACAAACATTTCATTTAAGCTCCATTATTATTAAAACAGCCTCCTACAACATAGCCGTCTGAACATGGGGAAGAAAAGAGGTGAACAAAAGCAGACTGTGTAAAACAAAAGAGTTGAGGTCAGGGTGTAGATTACAGAGAGTTATGAGCGGAGGTGGGATGATGCAACATGTAGGACATACATGCAGCATTAAGAAAACATAGCGAGAGAGAGAGAGAGAGAGAGAGAGACGTGGAGCACCGGAAACTGACAGGTGGACAAAAAGCTGTGGAGCAAAGCGGGGAGAAAAGTAAGGCTGGAGGCTAACCCAGGGATTTAGGCAGCAGGTTCTTGATGAACTCTGCGTGATCCCCGACGTGCAGCACGCTGTAGACGCTGGTGTTCATCAGCTCCTCCTGGTTGTAGCGCAGGTATTGGGTTACGTTCTCAGACACGAACACGATGTTACCCTCCATGTTTACCACAAAGAAGAAGCCGTCCAGGGCCTGGAGAGGTGAGAGGGAGAAAGAAATAACAGAAAGTCAGGACAGATATTTGCTTTTTTTTTTTTTTACATTCTCGATGGAGCTATAGTCTTGGCAACAAATCCGAACACATTTCCACAAATGGCAGATGGATTCACAAACGTGTATGCAGACCTGTGTAAGCATTTGTAGATCTGTTTGTGCATTTGCAAATAGTTTTGTACTGAAAATGACGTCTTGATTCAGATGAAAGCAAATCTCAGCTGTGAAATCAATGCAGAATTAGGAGGGTAAGAATCTGTTTGACCACCTTCATTTCACACTAACACCAGCTGCAAATTTTGGTGAGGTACTTTTGTGGGGTTGTGTAACATGCAGCACATGCTACACCGTTTCTAAAGACAGTGGATCGGCACACTGAGTGCTGGATACCATCAATCTCTGCTGCTGATGTTCAACATCGGCGCGGCTGATAGAAGACAGGATAAAAGCGTGTGCCTGCAGAGATTGGAGGATGTGCGAGAGGAGGAGCGCTTAATTGAAATAATACAGCCCCAGGTCAGCCATTACACACAAGATGGTGTCAATTAGGCCATCAAATCACATCTAGCTCTTTAAAAAAAAAGGGGATTTCTGCTGGTTGTAAAGCTGCGAAATCTCGTGCCAAGCGAAGAATGAACTGCCAAGGTATCTGCTCATCGCTTCTGCTAAAATAATCATACACACACTTTACATCACATTCATGACACAAATCATGTGCTGTTTTTTTTTTTTTCCCCCTTAACAGCCCATGAATCAAAGTCTTGATACTGCATACCCATCTCGCACTGCAACCGCTCTTGATAGAATACCTGTGTTCAACCAGCAGGCTTAACTTTCTGGGTGTAGCAACCTTCTCCATCCCACATCACACATGATCAAACTGAGAAGTTTTCCCTCGCCTGCATTACCACAACACGAGCTGAAAATAGACTTTAAGGAGATCTCATCTATCACTGCATGAAGCCAAGCAGGTTTCCAAAACGCAACATGGGTTGTGCAAGTCCACCCCTGTGTGGAGAAAGACCATGTACTGGACAAGTAGGGCAAACAGAAAGAGAGCAAACACTCTTTTGGTGCCAACTATTGCCTTCTTGCAGACAATCTTGCGTAATGCAGTTAGCCAATAGTTTCATTTACAATGTCCTGATTAAACATACACTGCTGCAGAGGGGAATAGGAATGACACAAATGAATATACCCTGAATTCAAATGTGCCATACTTTCCATCTTCAGGTTCCACTTTGCAGCTAGCCTGTTGTGTTAATATATGACTCTATATGGTTTTACCTCCACGGTAATAAATACACAGAAGGTAGTGAGTTGTGAAAGGAGGGAGTGAGCTCTGGGTCAGCTCTCCTCTCCTCTCCTCTCCTCTCCCCTCACGGTGTTACTGTTATTTATGACAAGAGAGGGCTGCTCTGCACACAGGGTCTCTCCTCACATATATTTTATGCTAAACATGCTGCATAAACAGCACGACAGGGCATTGCTGTCCTGTTCAACCTATTCAAACTGGCCACAGCACAGGCCCGTGTTGATTTCAAATACCTTGTTGGTATTTCCAAATGTTTCAGTTTATATCTGGCTTCAAATGTTCAGTTGGATTTACATTTTTTAATGACAAGACTGCTGGTTGAAGAACAAGTTGTGTAACGACTGAAGACTGTTTTCCATTATCTTAATGATATATTTTAGGATTGTGATGATTACTTTGCAAGGTTAAGGCAGTTTCATATTTTATTTATTACATCGAGCTAAATAAGTGAAAGATTTTTTAAACAAATTCAGACAGTTTTTCTATTTCTCTATTTCTATTTTTAAGTTATATTAAGAGTTTAAAATATGATTTGAGAGTGTTTCATTTCTATTTTTTGGATAAATCGAGTGATTCAAATGAGATTTTTGCTCATTGAAGAGAGCTTTACATTTTTCATTGTTATTTAAATAATAACTTTAGCCAGAATAATAAAGTTTGTCCATTTTGGTTGACATTTCTAATTCTTAAAACAAATCATTTTGTCACCATTAGACAATTTTAATGTACATATGATTGATTTAAGGTTGCCCTGTGATTGACTGGTCAACAGTCCAGGGTGTACCCCGCCTCTCGCCCAAAAGTCAGCTGGTATCGGCTCCAGCCCCAGCCCCCCCGCCCTTGTCTTAGACAAGACAATTTTTCATTTTTTTTTAAAGACAAATAAATATGTTGCCTTATTTAGAACGATTTAAGATATATCTGGAGATTTTATTTTGTTAAATTTAAGAGACTGTTTTTCCCAAGACTTTATTATGATATATCTAATCAGCTAAACAATTATTTCCCCCACTTTAAGACAGTTTAAATGTTGTAAATTAAATGTAATAATTAAAACAATAATGGTGTCAACTTAAGATAGTTTTACTGGTTTGTATTTGATCTGATTAAAATAAAAATTTGTCAATTTCCGACCGTTTTATACAAACAGATGATCAACAGGGTTTGTATAATGAAACAAGGGTTTAAAAGTTGAAGATAGTTATCAGGATTCAGATATCACTTGGTACTACAATAGATAAATTCCCAAACACACTCTGCCTTAGCCTCCAATTGATTCACTGATGATGTCATCATACCACACAGCAGAACCATACAGTGCAGTAATCCAGGAATGCAAACTGTACCACAGTCATGTGACAGAACAAGACTCGTTCCCAGGAGGTTATAACAACAGCATGCTAATGTTTTTTCACGGCCTTCTCTGCCTTCCTGCGCTTCAGGACAGTGAGCAGCAGACAGCAGAGGAGCAGGGGGTCACAGGGCACGCGTGGGTGCATTTCCTGCTGATGGCCATTCTTCTCATGGCATCCTGTAATGAGCCCTTGGTGGCGGACGGGGACGTGGCCATTGCCGAGTGGGTGCGAATGGCCGATTGCTGTGTTTTGGGGCCGCTGACAGACGGGGCAGCATGCAGGCCGAGCTGGGCTATATTTAGCCGTGAGTTAGTATGTCGATTCGGTGACGCTGGACCAGGAGAGCTATAAATATTCCATGACAGGACAGATCTAGAGGCAAATGAAAAGAGGATAGGGAGGGAGAGAGAGAACTGAACAAGAAAAGAGAGAGAGAGAAAGGGAGGGAGGAACTGAGCGAGTGAGAGGACGGGCTCAATGGAGTGATTCATCCGCCAGGCTGTTGCTTTCTTTCCCATTATACGTAAGCACTTCAGTAGCCCTCCGCAGGACAACGAGGCCATTGCTCCGCTCGGTGATTTACAGCCAATCGGGGGGCAGATACAAGACGCTGGCAGCTTAAACTCCACGCAGCGACACTCTCACACACACACACACACAACTGTTCTCCGAGGATGGCACTCTTCATCATGGCAATCGTGATTTAAAGAGAGGAGTTGATCGTATGTGAGTGGGTATGTGAGTGTTAAGTGTGGGAAACTTGAGTGAGGCTATGATTAAGCAAGGAAACCCACCTCCAGCATCATTGGTCCCAAGGCATCTTTGTCAATCACACTTTGGCCTGTCGATGAGACATCAGCCTTCTGTACCTCCTCTTGATTTGCTGCTGCTGCTTTTTCTGTTAACAAGAAAGTCAAGACAAAAGTTTAGAGGTAAAAACAACAAACAATGCTTCTACAAAGTAATGATCTTTTCTTTTCAATTTCAACCCAAGTAGCCCATGTTGTACTTAAAAGTTGTTTTGTTGTCATGGAGAACAAAAAACACAACACAAAAAACTTGAACATCACAGTGGTTAGCAGAGAAAAATTATCCCCCCCCCCCTCCTTAAATTGACCCACATACTATAAGAGGTTGCTTGTTGACAAGACTTTAACAAGTTATTTTTCTGGCTACAAAGTAAACACATTTGTCCTTTTGTCAAAACATGTTGCCATGGCTCAAGCCAAAAGCAGTGAGCAGCAATCGGAGTGAAAGGTTGTTGTAAATGAGAGTGTCAGAGCACGCAGCTGCCACGCTGGTGGCAGCCACTGGATGGTTTGCATTGTCATCTGCAAAAAAAAAAAAAAAAGGGAAAAAAAAGGGGGGGCTATTATGGAAACACTGACAGTATGTAAACAACTTGTGCTCCCACATCGAGAAACCAGTTGTAGCTTTATGGTCAAGCAGCAAAAAGTTAACCATATTCCTCTTTTGTTTTAAACAGTGAACATGTATCAACATGGTCGCATGTTCATTCTCCCGTTTTTAAAATGTATTAATCAAATACCTTAATACAATTATAATGAGCCAATTTTGAAAGCATTCATGTGAATAAAGAACACTAAATACCATCAAACTGAACTGGTACCTCTTAAAGCTGGTCTTATATTTGGTTACAGAACTTAAAGGATAGTGATTTCAGAGAGTAATCCTTTCATAATCTTTATTTTTCATCTCTTTTTAATTTGGAAAGCTCCTCAACATTGATACTCTTTAGCAGGGGTTGTCTCCCTTTTCATATGGATGCTTTTCTCATAACTTCTCTGGCACTGTCTCCTCCTCTTGAGCTTGTATTCAAATTGGATTTCCCAGCATGGATATAGACAGTACAGCTTGTTACAGCTATATACCGTTCATATTTCCAAACTGGATCTTTGCAAAACAAACAATTTGACAGGTTTCAGACTGATGTTTCAAAATGAAAAACATAGCTCCTTTAGATCCACAGCTGAATTAAGTCCTCCAAATGTGTACGATCGTGCCTCTGGTTAACTAAGGAGTGGAAATCAGAGTATCCTGTATGCTTCTGTACCTGCACTATGGTGCTGTTCATTTGTCCATGTGAGTGATTGGGTTAATAATCATGCAGAGAAGCCTTATGTTCAGCGCGTAGGCTGCCCTACTTTTAGAGACGATGATGAGAGGCGGAATATGAGTGGGCTGTTGGGGGGGACACATTTAACTGTCGCACCATGCCAAAAAGAGGACTGACCATATGGTGAGAGAATGTTGTGGTGAAAAGCTTACAAAACCATGTCCTTCTTATTTTTTTTTAGTCTTTTTTTTTTTAAATTTAATTTTGGGGTGGAGACGTGTAAAAACTGACACAACTGCAGCCCCCCCCCCCCCCCCGCTCTGTGGGCTCGTGCAACACCTCACAGACGCACATTCATCTCTTTCAGCATTAATGATGTGTGCATCAGCAGGACCTCTGCAGGCCCAGCGGGCCCCAGTATACTAGCACAGCTGCCCTGGGTGCAGACCCATCACTCAATGTCAGAACAGCCCTCAGCGGCTCTCCCTCTGTCTGCAGAGCAGTGCCACAGATAGAGGGAGGATCTGCTTATTTAGAGGAGGAGTCTTAGAATAACTGCTACATAATCTGTAACCCTAAGAAGTATACTTAGACTTTCTTACTTATAATGAATGAAAACCTATGTACTAGAGGCTACTGTACATTACAGCCTCCACCAATAAGAGCGAGTCTCTGCTGTGTTGGCAGAAGCGAGCAGTTAAAGAGTGTAAAGGAAGCTATAAAACTCATGGCTATGCTATATTTCATAGACACTATAATAAAAGTCATCATTACTAAACATATGTCTATTAAGATGCAACAAGCTGCAAAACTGAAGAAAAAAAAAAGCCAAGCTGTTCTGAGCACGCCACTATTTCAATTAGCAGAATGTATGCAGACAGCATGAGAGGAGCAAACGAGGATAATTAAGAGCTTTTTGGTAGGAGGCCACTTTTTCACAGGCAATCATCACTGCATTGCTCTTCTCTGCACAGCTAGGAGACCAATCAGTGAGAATGATGAAGTCACATTAGTGTCATGCAATACATCGCAAATGTCAACATAAACTGAGAATATCTGAAAACTAAAAATAATAAAATAAAAAGCCTATAGATAGAGATTGTGCACAATAACCAACCCTTGATATGACAGGTGAGGTGCAATTAAATCAACAAAAGTCTGTGGTAGAATCATGCAACCTGTACCATGAAAACATCGAAATGAGCTTTCGGTGGATCTGTGGCTCGACAACAAGTGCAACCAGAAAAACCAAAAAAGCAGCTGAAATACTCTGTGATGGGGTGCAGCAGCTTTCTACGTCAGTTGAAAAAGGTGTTGGCTATTGAGGTCTGAAGAACAAAGCAGGAGAGTGAGCAGCCTTGTTTAGCCCTGCCTTGTTGTTGCTGTACAAACACTATGCTACTCCTTCAGAGGCGGGCTTGGTACGTCACTGTAGCCCAGTGTAAAGAAATGAGATCAAGGAAAAGGAGGGAGGCAGAAAGGGGAGGAAGACAGTAAAGAGGGAGAGCAGCCAGAGTTTTTTTTGTGTGCCAATTTTGCATCACATTGTTCACTATTACATAACTCCTGGCTCAGTGAGTCATCATGTGTGACATCATCAGACGATCTGAATCATGTACACCTCGAGTGGACCACTCTTTGTCTACGAGTCACTCAGCTGCTCTTTTATGGTCCAAGCTCAATCACAATTCAGCTTTTACAACTTTTTAAGCTATTTTTGGATCTTTAAGAAGGAAATAAAAGAAAAAACGTACTTGCATTGGTCTGGTAATTTAAACATGGGAAAAAAAGTAGAAAAGCAGACCTCAACTAGCTGCGAAAGAACTGCTAAAAAAGGAGAAGCTGGCAACTAAAACCGAGCACACTGATCCATTTGCCTGATGTTCTGGCTCAGAGAGGAAGTGGGGAAGGTCTGCAGCCAACAGGAAACTGCTCTGGTTCCTCCACATTATATGATGAAGTGATGGAGGGAACATTAAATCAATGGTGCTGCCCTTTAATAGGCGCATCAATTACTGTGTATGGAGCAGATCCCACACCATAATATTTATGCAACTGTGTCGGATGCTTCTGCCAACAAGAGTGCCACCTGTGGCGACTGTGGTTATGTTGGAGTTTAAAAACCAAAACATCTTTAATATATTCACGATAATGTAACACCTGAATCACAGAGCGTTGCATGTATTTGTACCCTTTCATTTAGGGTAGGCTTGTTACAAGGCCGCCTTATAAAAAAACTTAAGGAAAGTTTTTTTTTTTTTTTACTGTTTCCTTGTTACTTTGGGAATTAATATCTTGGATTTTACTTCTACAAACATAAAACGTGTCAAAAAGATTTACCTTGCTCCTTTATCTGTCTGATCTGTTTCACAGTTTCCTTCAGGATTGCACATTTGTCAGGCTTGACATTGAAGTTGTCCATGTCGTTGAAGTTGGCAAAGATCAACTCGGCGAGCTCCTCGATGTATTTGTTCTCGTGCTCGCGGTTGCGCTTCTCGTTGCTCCGCTTCGGACTACAGATAAGAGAGAGAGAGAGAGAGAGAGAACGAGAGACATCACCGAGGTGAGAATTAGATTAGAAATGAAGATGACAGCAGCAGCAGGGGGGTTAAATAGGATGGCAACATCGGCATGAGAGAGAGAGTCAGAAGAGGGATGAGTCTAGGGTCAACTATTCTCCATCAGGCTCGTTGAAACCTATCAGCAGGCCTCTTTATTGTGCCAACATGGAGCACCACATCAATAAAGAAAAGCCTCATTCTTAAGTGCTTATCTGCTGATGAATTATGCAGATTGATCGTACAGACTTCAACAGTTCACCAGAGTTAGATGTGACATACGCATACAGTCACTCATGGTGCAGCTGTATATAAAATACTGCAGGATATATATGAGCTTTAGATCTTTGTTTCACAGTCTTAAAACATGTGGCGGATGGAGCAGGAGGGGAGGGAAATATTTTCAAGACAGTGGGCAAAGTTGTTGACTAAACACATGAGTAAGGAAAGACTGGATAAGAGCCTGACTGATATGGAAATATGAGACTAATTATGATTTTAGTGGTATAAATTATACTGATTACAGATATGGCAGCCAATATGGTAAATTTTCAGCTTGATTAAAAAGACACATTTTCCATCAAAATGATGAATCTAAAAGTTAGGCTCAGAAAGATATATTCTGAAAACAAATTACTTCATTAAAGAATTCCTCACATTTTTATTTTCAATCATGGAGCCCATCTGCTCTCGTCTCACAAAGAAATATATATGTCTCTTGGAGCCATGGACAACCTTTTGGGGCTTCTGTTGTTGTAAGGAGTTATGAAGGCCCAGACTTCCGTTTCCCTTTTTTTAAGAAGCAAGAATAGTTTGTATCAAATCTCGAAGGCCAGTAGCAGAGCTGCACTCGCATGCAGAGGTCAGTTTAAAAGACAGTGATTAAAGCTAAATGGTCCTTAGTTCGCTGCCCATGCTTCTGGGATTTTGTTAGTGCGCCCCTTATGCACTCCACTCAGCTGAAGCCCACTGAAACTCAAGTGAAGGAGTGGATCGTACAATAAAAACAAAACAAAAAAAACAGCACTTCTGATTTAAAAAAAATGGATTCATGGAGAATCAGAAGATATATATTTACAGGGTTGGTAGGAAAGTCTTAATGTGAAAGAAGTAGTTTTTAAGAAGATATCTGCCTTTGGTCCAGAGGAACAAGTCTTACCTGGGGCCTAGAAGTTCGGTTGAACATTCTTTGCGTTTCCGTGACTCTGCCCTGGCAGGGTCAGACGAGTTTTCACCGACTCCACTCATCCTCAATGCATATCAGCGTCTGGAAAATCAGCACAAAGAGAGAAAAACCGGTTTTCGCGATATGTAAATTCATGAATGTACGACACTTGACGGATCAGCTATGAACACAAACAGCAGTCTTATGTGGACGCACTTAGTATTCTGTAGGTGTTCAAGGATGCCAACATGAGCATCTGCATACAACACACACACACACATAATCCAACGCTGGGGGCACAGGTTGATCCACTCCGGGAGTGAAATGAGTGAAAATGGAGCGGAGAGAGATTCAATCATTTCTCTGTGATGGTGCGGCTCTCCCCAGAGAGGCTGAAATGAGAACACGGCGCTTTGCCCACAGCACCAGACTGCGCACTCAACCATGTACCAAGAAAAAGCCATTCGTTACACGATACCGAGCGAAGCCAGCTCACAGCGAGAGCCGAGAGGGTTTATGATCACAACATGTGTCCGTGTTTACTGAGCACCACGGAGGATCCTAAACCTGAAGTGGTTTGTAAGTGCCACTCAAAAATTAAATGCAAGACTGTCTCTTGTCTGTTCTTTTTTCAATCAAAACCACAGAGCTAAGATCTAAGCGTGTAAGAAACCAAACTGTGAATGTTCTTTTTTTTATATTCAAAGTGACAATCTGTCTGAGGGCAACCTGCAAACTGCTATATTGGGCTTCCAGGCCATTAGGTCACAAATATGTTGCGTACTTAAGCTAAATCAACAGGGTCGTAAAAATAAGTCGGGAGCTCTTAAGAGACGTTCCCTTGCAGATGTTGAGCATCAACCTCGACATATCTCACATTCCTCTCCTCGTCTTACCCTGTGAGTCAGCACAGGCTGAACTTCATGCCACTAAATGAACGACTATCAATTATTGATCCAAGTAATGCCTTATTAATTAGCACCATCATCTGCACCAAAATGTCATGGTTACTAATGGACTTGGGTTTTGATAGAACAGAAAATTTCCTGCAAAGTAGATGTGACACTTGCAAAAAACAGGGTGATATTTAAAAACTATATGCATGAACATAACTTCTTGGTCTTTTAGTTTGAAAGGGTTATCAAGAGAGGGGAGGAGAAGGATAAAATCCCCCTCCCCCCCCCAAAAAAAATAAAAAAAAAATACAGTTTTTAACCCTGCACAGTGCCCAAGATCAGGGCATGATTTGTTGTGAGACACTCTTAGGCACCCTTGCCATGGAAACGGCTGCGACACACAGCGCTCAGCCATCCATTACATAAGGCTGGGAGCAGAGTACAGCACAACACAATGTAGAGCAGAGAGCATAGCTTAGCACAGGCAGGCTACACTAAGAAAGGGAGCTAGTGACCATGCAAACTTGAGTCTGGCTCCCTCCTGGCCTGAAGTGACCTACTTTAAGCTAATGGTAGGGTCTGCACTTAAATGGAAGCTGTCAAAGCGGTGGGGACTGGCCAGAGAAACAGAGGCGAGTCTAAAGGGAGAAACCTGTTTCTAACGTTCTATTGACAAGTTATTTGAGTACCATTGCCCTTAACAGTGTACGGACAGGAAATTAACACAAATGTCACTCCTGTGTCCTTGCTTTACACTCATCTGAATGCGATAGAGGTGTCTTTATGCGGTGACCCAGTGCCGTCCACCTAAATGATAACAGTTTCCATAGCAGAGGTTATGTGCTTTTATTAATGACAACAGAAAACAGGCCATTAAATTCTCAAAGCTAAGTGCCACTCTCTGTTCCGATTGGTTGTGCCTGCGCTTTCCAAGCACAAGTTACCATGGGGACTCCAGACCTGATTGGTCTTTCCTTGTACTGGCGGGCCGGATGTGATTGGTTGCCTTCGTCTCCTTGACACGGCAGTAATGATGGGTCAGTGTACGTTTGAGACAAATAAGAAAGACTGGAAGCAGCGGGCACGTCTCAATGACACCAGCACAGTTGGCCAGACAGCTCGGCCAGCAGGAAGGTTTTGTTGCTGGGGGATTCTATGTTCATGTGGGCAGACTAGAGTGGGATTTGTAATCCTAGAGAACGCCCTGGATCTGTGTGAAGCTATAAACAGCTGGGCACTGGTGTTAGCACTTACTGTAAAGAGCTGTGTCACTAAGTTAATTATCAACATCGGCCACTAGGGGGGAGTTTCTCTTTCATGCCAAAAATCTTAAAGACCAGAGTAAGCCTGAAACGAAGTGGATTGAGGCATGTAGCTTGTGTTTCAGTAATGAGGACATGAAAGCTCCTGCGAGGAGTTTATAGATGATTATCAAGCAGACTGAAATGAATACTGATGATTCTTCATGAACGACAAAAGCAAACAAGATCATCAGCGAAAAGATTTCCATTTCTCGTAAAACTATTTTAATGCCTGAAACTGTTAACTTGCCGCGGGGCGGGTGTCAGGAGAAGTGATTAACAGAACTCTGAAGAAACAACCTTTTTTTTTTTTTTTTCCTGTTACAAATTCTTGCTGAGTGATACGTTTGAATGTTAAAAGAAGGCTGGATACGAGTCCATTGCTAGATAACACTACTTACACATGTTGAGGATAAGAAATGCAAAGAGATTAGAAGAATCGTGTTTTCTTCCACACACACACACACACACACACACGATGTAACTTAGTGATCATAATAAAAATGGCACAACAACCAATTTCCCCACGAGGGAATCGTTTAAAAGTAAAGCCAATGGTGACCACAAGCGTTGATTGATACAGCCAAGAGCCTGTGTCGACAACAGGACAACACAGTTCAATCTTGAGTTTACAGCTGTGTTCTTCACAGAAACCCTCATTAAAATAACCCGTTTCAAAACAAACAGGGTTATTCTCAATATTTTCAGATTCCTTAACTGATTCCTTTTTTAGATAAAAAAGGAAAACAATTTACAGTCCAGTACAGTGCAGTGTAAACCAAACAGTGTTGAATAAGAAGAGTCAAGAAAAAAAAAAAACTAGTAGTTTAAGGGCATTTAAAGGCCAAACTTTTTTTTTGAAGTCTTACATCAGCTAGAGCCTGGCTTAGCATTAGCGTTAGCTAGCGTGAAGACATGAAAAAGACATGTAAAAGCTGTTTAATTTTGCTGATGAATGTGTAGATCCATGCGTGCAAAAAGGAAGAGCCATGTGTAGGCACACCTGAGCTGAGTGCAGATACTATGTCGAGTGATGTAGGGTAAGTCGGTGGGATAAGTCACCTCATTATGTTCAGGACTGATTGACAGATTCTGGAAGGCATCACCTACATTTGCAGTTCTTCAAGCTGTCAGCTCATTTAGTGCATTAGCAGTGCAAGTTGAGACATATGGCCAGTCACTGCGAGTTGCCTTATGTCAGTCATATGTGGGCATGTGATGTGTTGTACTGTGTCAGGAACTATTCATCGTACATTTGGAGAAAGGTTTTTTTTGGGGGGTTTTTTTGGACTAAAGGAGGCAAGCACCATATGAGAAAAACATGTGATATCATTGTTCAATATTTCAATAATATCATGAACTGGGATAAATAAACCAATGTTAAAATGTGCATATTAGCTGTAACTCACAGCTTTGATATCTAATTTCTATTTGTGTTTTACACAATACTTATGTTTGCAATATGCTTCTCCTAAATCTAAAATAAATCTTAAATGTTTTTCTGCCACCACTAAATTGGCACCAAGTAATGTGAGGGTAGCTGACAGCCAGCTTGAGGCTCATATGATGCATCAAAATGGTGTGAAAGCATGGAAACAATGCCAAGGCCTCCATCCAATAGGTAAAATGTATGCAAGCTGAGTGAGAAAGCATTGTTTACTTGAAGCTCATTTCACATATGCACCCCTGAAAATGTCTAGAAAACTTTCAGACAGGCTGCCCCTGAACTCTTCCTGAGTTGGATTTTCACACGGGTAGACTATCCATGATGAGCAAAAGGGTGATGCGTGTGTTTGTGTGTGTCTCAGGAGATAATAACTTGCATAAAAAGAATGAGGCAGAACTAAAAAGCTGATGAGGCCGCCGAGTCTGACAATAAAATGACACATTTTTTTTGCTTTTGTATCAGTGCTATATGTAGCTCAATACATTAATAATGACAAAAAAGCAGAGAAGAACAAATAGGCAAACAGAAAAACAAATGAAGCATGCTATACAGTCTATCGTGCGCCAGTGGTAAAATGTAACCGTCATCAGTCCCTTCCTCTCGTTTGTTCGGGCTTCTCACATCAGCCTGTATACCCCAGCTTCCCCGAGGGCGAGGGGGTGGGGGTTGGCGACGTACCAGCAGACTTCTATCTATCTCTTGATTATTTGGCTAAAGAAGGTTGGCAAATATAATAATCATGCAATAATACACTTGGGAGGCCGTATACATACTGTTATTGTCTCAATATTATGTTGACATTATGCCGACTTTATAAATAAATAACTCAGGCGGCTCCTCTGAAGCCCTACGATGTGATTTTTAATTAGTCTTGGTAATACTGTATACCCCGGGAAAATGTGGAGGAGGTTTAACAATATGAAACATTTGGATCTCACCCAACTCCAGAGATAAATTCAGAACTTGGTGATGTGTTTATTTTGAAAGCTCAAACTGCGACAACAATGAATTTGCGATTAATAGTGCAGTCCTACTCTGAAGAAGACTTCTCAATTCAGCATGCACATCTATTTTTTAATCACTTAATACAAAAGAGATCGCACTGCTTTCAGAAAGGTACTGAAAACCCTCCAATATTCTAGTCCAGATATTGGGGGTGGTTTGTGTAGAAGAAAACAGTGAAGGCATATCTCTTGTTGCTCCAGCAAGTTATTTAATTTTCTTGCAGAAATATTTCGTTACAAAAGAAGTGTTGCAAAATCATGCAAATATTTTGTGTCATCACATCTGCTATTGCTGTTAGTTGGATAAAAATGGATTAAAGATGACCTAGAAGAGTGTGTCCACACCTTTTATAGAACCCATGGCATTCAGACCCACCACACATTCACAGTGTGAGTTCTTGAATCATACAAATTCAGCAGTTTCACAGATTTTGAAATAGTTTCAAATCAAACA